CTGGTCCGGAACGGCAGGATATGGGCTGGTATTGTGAGGATTCACCAGCTCGTCACGCATACATTCCGTCGCACGTTCGAAACCGTCTGGGCCTTGTGTGTGACACGAAGCACCAAGAGATTCAAGGTGGTTCAGTAAAATTGTGAAAGTGTTGTGGTGCAGTGAACACGTTGAAAATGCCGATTTCATTGCTCTTGGGAAAGACGGCTTTAGGTTTAGTCTTTTGGTGAAATGGTCTAGATTCCTTTCGGTATACGGAGGCTTTACCTTGTCTGTTGCAACGTGCAAGTTAACAGTCTGTGTCCGAATGCGTGACATTTTTTCGGAAGAGTCATATGATGGTGCAATGGTGGTATATTTTCTCTGAGGTCTCGTTTGGAAAATAGGCTTACTGCGGGAAGACTTCAGCGTAACTGTGATGGGTGAGTTGAAAAGCCTTCCGCTGATGAGGTATGGACAGATCTTCATCGTATTTGAACCAAACGATCATTTCTTGTTTGATCTTTTCCCATGACTCGTCGTTTTGAAATATGTGCGTGAGGTAGAATTTGAAGGCCTCACCGGAGACGTAGTCGGTAAAGTTGGCGACCATCTCCCATTCCGACCATGATGCAGCGGTAGCGTGGAGCTCGAACAGGTCGAACCAGTCCTGTACAGGTCCATCGTCCACTGCTCCGGTGTACTTGAGGATGGGAAGGTCTGTCGATGGTTCTGTCATGATGCCGGTAACTGCATGCGCCTGAGGTCACCTCTTCTGTCGTCGATATTCAGTTGAGGCGTACTGACGGTGATTTCGTGAATGATGTGAGGTTGATGAGCGGTAGCCAGGTCTTCATACTGTCGACTCGTGTGACGCTATGATGAATGGGAGACGTGGCCTGGCTCATACGCCATGTTTATTCCGTTCTTCACTTCTTCCTTCTCTGCCTCTACCAACTCCTAACTATCACTACCTTCTTACGTTACACACACACACATTATATATATATATATATATATATATATATATATATATATATATATATATATATATATATATATATATATATATATAATATATATATATATATATATATATATATATATATATAGACTTAGTTATGAATTGCTTACTCCTAGAAAAATTACGCATATTGCAAGAAAATATATGCCATGTTGGTGATTCATATTGACTAAGTGCTGCAAAGTTTTCTATTTTACAAGGATGCCAATTCAAATAGTTCTCCAGCCCCATATACCTCAATGAATCGATGCCTGTCTAATTCTGTCATGGTGATGTGGTGGTTTTGCAGCAAGAGGACTTTATCTCATGCTTTGTCAGCAAGAGCGAAACACACGCTTCTCGCAAAATTTCAAGTATAAAGAAGTAGCCCAACAAATCACACTTCAATTTTTTTTTAATTGTAAGATCTGTCCTGCTGTAAATCGATTATACTACGGCGCAAGAAAGCTGAAAAAATCGACGGATCCCACGTACAGTGGGAATCAATGATATGCGAAGCACGAATAAGAAAGGTTGATATGTCACTTAAAATCAGCACAACGTTACGAGGTAGAGGTAAATGATGCCGTACATGACTTCCGTGTCATGATTATCATGTTTGGATGTGCCATTTACCTTCGTCATCTATTCACGTTACGTGATACCAAATTTATTACACGTAGAGCTACCGAAATGACCGCGAGCACGCTATGAGCGTGGTATGATGTCATGTTCTTACACGACACGCTTATCAGAATTATCACGTTTGCACCAGTCATATACTTTCGTCATCCTATTGACGTCACGTAACACCAAATTTGGTATATGTGAAGCAAGCAATATGGCCGCGAGCACATCATGAAGGACCTAATATACTCCAATGTAGCGCTGACGCGCGCGCACGCTGGGCACAGCGACGCTACGTTAGCGAAACGCGAGCACCCTATAGTCTGACGCCAGGCGCGACCAGCGTCCGCCAGCGCGGCCCGACGGCAACCGGCGCGAAATGCGACATGTTGCATTTCGCGCCAATGCATTACCCAGACAACACTGCGTCCCCCTCTTTTCGTGACGGAGGTACGCCGGATCGCGCTGAAGCGCGCATGCGTCAAAGCAACGCAGCGAGGCACGTGCCTGTGAGTGTATGGCAGGACCGGTGCCTGGCGTGGCAACGCTGGTGTGACCCGACGAAATGAGCGCCGGTGAGCACGCGCACCACGTCACAGTCGAAATGTATTGGCGACTCGACTGTGGCATGTAGTCATGTTCTCACATGACACGCATCTCATTATTATCATGCTTGCACCATGTCACATACCTTCCTCATCCATTGACGCCTCGTAATACCAAATTTGGCATATGTAAAGCTAGCGAAACGGCCACGAGCGCATCACGGAGTGTGGCACGTAGTCATGTTACGTGACAAGCATCTCATGTTTATAATGTTTGCACTAGTATCATACCTTCGTTATCCATTCAAGTCCCGTAATACGAAATTTGGTATAAGTGAAGCTAGCGAAACGGCCGCCAGTGCATCAAGAGTAGTGGCATGTAGTCATGTTGTTACCCGACACGCATGTCATGATTTTCATGTTAGGATCTGTCACTTGTGTTCACCATGCAATTATGTCATACCATACCAGTTTTGCAACATGCCATGTGAACGAAACAACCACAAGAACTGCAGGACCATGAAATGTAAATCATGACATCCAACTCACGATTTTCATGTTATGACTAGTCAAATGTGTTCTTCATACAGTTATGTTATGCCACACCAAGTTTGGTATTGATACCATTATCGAAACGGCCAGGAGAGCTAAAAATCGTTAAAGGGCGGGCGGGCGGGCGGACGAATGGACGGACGGACAGACAGACAGACAGACAGAGAGATAGATAGATAGATAGATAGATACACGTAAAGTCTCTAAAGTTCGCTACGAAATGGTTCGCGTTTAAAACTGAGACATAAAATGAACGCCAGGAGTGTCACATTTCTGCGTGCTACGGTATTGTACGAGCTACAGTAATTGTGAAGTTACAGCTGTTCCTAGAGCTCACTTACCAAGGCTTCCAGCTCTTAGTGTTGTTACTTCCGGTCTCCAAAAATTTACCAAAAAACGATAGTAAAAAGCAGCACATCTGTTTGTTTTTTTCTTGCATTTAGTGTACAATGTTTATTCATTCTTTTTCCAGCTCGAAAGAATAATTCATTTACAAAACGTTATCAGAGTCCTGAAGCTGTTACCATACCCCAAAATCTAGGGGGTGTTGCCTGAAGCCCAGTCTTTTCAGACCGAAGCAGGCCACGTACAGATGGAATCACACTTGTCTAGAGCACCCGGCCGGCCACTCCAGCTGCTGTTTTCTGGAGAAATATGTAAAGACGGATGCCGTAGTGATAACACACACGCTAGGTCCTTGTGCTATAATTTGAGCATGAACGGAAACCCGTAGCTGATGTGAAGTAGAAGCCGCCGCCAGTAACAGTGTCGACAGCCAGGCGCTCTACTGCTCTATACACAAGTGCGATTCTATCTCTACACGTAGGTACCGCCGGGCTGAGCTGGCGTCATCGTGGACCTTCGGACAGCCTGTAGCTGATCTTGATATGAGCTAGGAGCTCAATATCATTTTCTGCCAATAAAGACATTTTTCTTCGGGGTTGGCTACACAGGGAAAAGCCCGCCATCATATGTCCGATTCCAATTATGCCATCATACGCTTTACATCTTTTAAGGTCGAAGCTCCAAGTGCAGTGCCTCAGTCCCACCGTTGTAGTAGCCACCTCTTACTTCTTACAATGTTCACTAGATGGCTCTGCGCTGATGCAGTACGTGAAGTGATCACTAGATGGGCGTGGAGGCATGTGTTGCGTGTGGTTTAGTTTGATAGAGTTTGATAAAACGACAGACAGACAGACAGGCAGGCAGGCAGAGAGATGGGTAGACGGATAGAAGCTTCGCCTCACTCATCGTCATTCACTCCATGAATATGCTGTGATGTTTTTTTTCTGAATTTCACATTTAAGGTGGAAAAAAATACATTGGCTTGTCTGCATGAAGTAGTGCCGCAGTGGCTTCCACCTAGTTTCAGGCAGTACAGCGATAGAAAAGGTTGAAATCGCTGTTTTCGTGTGTACAGCGCCAAAGAAGCAGAAAAGCACTACACACCAAACGCAAAGAATGAGTGGTCATTTGCATGCCTATTTGGAAAGACTTTCCGTTTTTCCTAACATTAATGCTCTGCTGCAGAGCGCTTTTTTTTTCTTCAAAGTTCATCACGTGAGCTTCTGGTCTGATGTAACACGGCTGACGAATTTCATGTGCTCCCGGCGCACTCTGTTTCAGTATTGCAACGATCGGGGCCTTGAATTTCTATTACTATATCGAATTATGAGCGCTTTTTTGTAATTTTTTTTTGCAAATGGGCACGTCATAAATTGTCACGATCTACATCTCTTCCATATGCACAACGACTTTAATTGATGTCATTGTGTATATAGAAGAGATTTAGAACGTGATAATTTAACTTAAAATGTAATTAGTGAATTTCAGCTAGTTACTTATTTAAACGCACCTCTAAGTGCGGCGAATAGCAATAATAATTGTTGGGGTTTAACGTCCCAAAACCACCATATGATTATGAGAGACGTCGTAGTGGAGGGTTCTGGAAATTTTGACCACCTGGGGTTCTTTAACTTGCACCTAAATTTAAGCACACTGGCCTCAAGCAATATCGCATCCAACGAAAATGTGGTTGCCATAGCTGGGATTCGACCTATGACATGCGAGTTAGCAGCCGAGGGCTTTAGTCGCTATAGAACCCCGTGGCGGCAGTGCGGCAAAGTCTCCATCTTGGCGTGGAATTCTTTTGCATAGATATGACAGGGGCCTGCATGCTTAATAAGGGCCATTTCGTGAAAATCTGCGTTGTTGTCCACAGCAAAGCCCTACTAGCTTAACCTAGAAAGCATTTTACCGTGCCATGTCATATGCATAAAAAAAAACAAAGCATGTACAGCCACTTTACTTTATTAGCGAGACAAGAATCTGTTAAAAGATGGCACTTCTATGACAATCTACAAAGAAAACATCAACAGTAGCATCTTATATATAATATTTATATGTATATAGAGTAATATGTTATGAAGCGCTGAATGCAGAGTCACATTTCAAAACAGTGAACACTTAGCAGAGTTATGTGCATCAAAACGGTCGCAATAAGGTAACTGCCCGTTCATGCCACAATAATACCACGGCATATTTTGTGCGGAAGGACACATTCGTGTGCACTGACAGCAGTACATGAAACAAACGTTCCTTGCAAGGCCTTCTTGTGGGCGAGTCATATTGCACCCAATGACAGGTTTAGCACATGTCAATGCACTATAGGCACTCTTGTTCACACAGCTAGAACACCCTTTGTTGCCACATTGAAAAGCCACACTTCGAGCACACGCTGCAGCAAGGTGTGGCCGCTACTGAATAGCAAGGCAGGGTTTCTTTATGCCTGTCAAAATGAATTTCCCGCGTTCTGGAAAAGCATTACAACAACGATCTTGAAAATGCAAAATTCATGAAGCAAGCAATTCACCAGCTCACAGTAGCGACAGTACACTAAATGAAGCAATAATAGCAGTGGCTTGCATTATCATTTGATCTTAAGATGTTTTTCTCACCTTAACCTCTGGGTCAGAAAAAAGAAACCTGTGCGATCCGATCATTTATTTGTGGAACACTTACACTTTCAAGGAACACATACTTGTGTACAATATTGTGTTCGACAAAGTGTGCCGGGAAAAGAATAGCAGTAAACCCCGCTTTTTTTTCTCACAGAATGTTTGTTAACCACTTAATTTCTTCACATCTACACTAAAATACTGCACAACAGCACACATGTGCTGGGCAGTGCTGTTCGTGCTTTCTTTATTTTGTGTATGCATTAAAATAAAGGAAATTTACATTACAATATCAGTGTGGTACTCAAATTCATTATAACATGCGACACTCCGGTACTGCATTACCCCTCAATAACCTCCTTCCGTACAAATATTTCCATAAAAGTTTGTGAAACTAATTCATATATCCTGTTTCTACATTATAAGAAGCAACTGAATTAAAAATGAATATACTTAATTTGAGCTGCCCTCCATGGAAGGGTGAATATTTAACTGCTGCCCTTTAGTGCAGCTGGTTTTGCACTTTTAAAGGTAGAGGCAGAATGATGCCATGCATAAGTTAATTTAGAATCTATCTTGATTTTTGTAGAATTGAATTCACACATCTTTTTCAATGTCTCTAAATAAACATAATATGAATGCTTAAATGCTTCATTTTTATGCACTCTTGTTCCATACAGACAAAGAAGTTTTTGTTGCACTTTGGAAAAAATGATGATTAGAACACTTAGAAGCTCATTGCAAGACCTGCAAGGAACTAATAAAAATCAAATGTGTACGTTTAATGCTTGATATATGGTACAACCACTACTTGTGGCCCTCTTGTGACACATGGTAAGGTTGCTATTACCTCAGAGATTAAAAGCAAGCACAAACAGGCTTGTTTCTCATTTCATTTGAAACATGATGTGCATTAGTAAGAACCATAGCCATCGTCTTAGCATTTCAAGCTTTGCTTTTGCGCAAAAAGGTCTAAGAAAAATGACAATTCTTTCTTAATTCATAACAATGATTATAAACTGATCACAATGTACAACAATTCACTAGCCCTACCAAATCAAAGCTGTCTAGCCAGCTGTTGTGGCCTTCCATAGCGAGACATCCTTTGGTTTGCCTTTTTCTTGCTGTAGTGAATAACGTCAACGTAAGCGATTTAGCTTCCTCACCCGGAACGCAAGTAAAGCCAAAAGTGTCACTGTTTCATACAGTCCTTCAGCCTCAAGTATGTAAAACATTTGTATATTTGCTTTGTATTCTAGCTTGCATAATTATAGGATTCGATGTCAAATATATCTTCTCGCGTTTAACAATTGATTAGGCTTTGCACTTTGGGCTTGCACTGACGTGGTGCTGATAGGAACACTCACAATAAAATATTAACACACGCTTAACGGTGCAGCACGAGAAAGTGCTATCGCAGCTGCAGTCTTTGCCTTTTGTGCGCCTTCAAAGCACTAGCAGTGCCCTCAGAGCATCACTAACCTTGAGAGATATGGCTAGACAGCTCGCGTTAGCTTTGTACAACCAGTAGAGTACGTCTATATCATGTTCGCCCGCGTTGCTGATATTCCAGCACTATCCATGACTTTGCCAACGAAGTTGACGATGGCCGATGCTGGCTGCTCTGGATCCAGCTCGGCAAACAAGTGGCACTGGTTGTCTGTCTTGCTTGCTGGTTTGCGAGCCACAAAGCCAAAGCACCTAGAGATGGAAGAAAGGCAACAGTTCACTTGCTGTTATATACATGTAGTTCCTGATAATGCCAAGTAGATGCCCCTTGTTCAATGGTCCCCTTTATTTAACTATATGTGGTGTGTCTCTGCAGTCCTATATGAACTGTCAGATATCGAATCTGGCCAAACCTTTATCTTTTGTATCCGTTATCATTTTGGAAACAACTCTGCAACTAAGACTATTAAGCTGAATTGGCTTTACAATGAAAAAATAAGGCATTCCTGACAGATAATTTGTTTCTTTTTAGAAATGCATGTAGTGCCATCACCCTTTTTCTGAATACAGCTTCACATAGCCATCTTGCCCCTAAATTATGCAGCATATAGTGTCATTTTGTGAACTTGTGCTTGCAGGTCCCTTGGAAGCTATTTCATTTTTTCAATGCTTCGTAATTATTTCTAGCACTCATGAGAAATTAATGCTTCATACTGTAATTAATGTGTGGGCAGCTACTGAAAACAGAGTGTTAATGCTTCTGAACAAAAATATGAGATACTTGTGTGTCAATGCATACCCTTAGCAAATAATCAGCTATTTCCGGCAACAGAAGAATTGCATACCTAGCAGTGACAGTGACGCCTGCATCTTCATCTTTTTGAGTCCAGCGCCTGTCGTCAGGGTCAGTGCCACAGAAACTTATCGCGTTAAGCGCGTAATGCCTCCTAAAAAATAACCTGAAATAAAAAAAGGTGCAAGCATTATTCCTGTAGGAATCAACAATGTTTCAAGGACATGTTGTGAGGTAAACAAGATGATAGATAGATATGTGGGGTTGAACGCCCCGAAACCATCATATGATTATGAGAGACTCCGTAGTGGAGGGCTTTAAAAACTTCGACCACCTGGAAAGTAAACAAGATGAACTGCACTCTAATTACTACTATATAATGTACAAGTTAAGTAGGAAAGTGGACTTCACATTATCTCTGCATCTTAAAGCAGGTGCAATGAGCAATACCCGCAGACTTTATAAGAGTGTGCTTCTTTCTACACATTTTCATCAGCATGGACACCCTTCAGGACCAGCTAGAGCTAATTAGTGGCTACATTTGTGTCAACATCTTGTGAAGCTGTTCTAAGCAACATTGACAGGGTTTTTAATCTCACTACAATGAGCAACTGCTCTTAACTTATCTGCTTGTATAAAAAGTTGTAATTGTGAAGCCGTGCCCAAAAAACAACTGCTTTTATTTTTCTGTCATGAAGAGTCGAAGAGAATAATAAAGTTGTTGAAAATTAATAACATTGTTGAAAAACTATTGTTTAAACTACAGCTAAAGAAGAATGGTCTGCAATGAGATGTTCCTATTAACCCTTCAGTTCCTCGAATACAAGTACTTGCTCTCTCATAGATCATAGATAGAACACCACAGATCAAGATTTATTCCGAAGGCTTGCTCGCATTTATTTTTTATGACATACCTAGTGCCTACATAAGTAGTATCTTCAAGTTTACTCAAACCCCATTATAACACAGTTACATCTTGCACCACAAAAAGTTTGTTGTATTCAAGAATTCATTATGAAGGTACATTGCTAATACTATCTATTGGAAGACTATTTTTATTTACTTCGTTATAACCAATATTTCTTTATATCCGGGTTTGTTATATCAAGTTTTAAGTACACATAGCAGGACAGCGTGTATCTTTGCATCCCTACATGGGCAAACTTTCAAGCATATCTCATACTTTCTGTTGTTGTCGGTGAGGGTGATGCCCTGGGAGGAGACCTTGAAGTGGACCACAGTGGGCACAGGTGGTGGTGAGATGGCCAGCAGCTCAGCCATAGCGCGTCGTACTGCCTGTGGACCCGTCAGTGACTCCATGTCCATGGTGCATAGGTACAACACATTGCAAGCTGTGCGTGGAAAGTTTGTGTACAGATTATGAAACGCTTCACAATAGATATCCTAATGGGGCAAAGTTTTTGGGATATATACAAATCATCAGGCAACTTTCTCACAGCCATTTATGCGAGCTATTAGGGAGCGATGCTTCTTCATTGTAATGCGAGATTATGAAAGATTCCATTTGTTTTAAATGTACCCTGCTCCTCCTCACTGCAAATGGAAAGCAGCTGCCACACACTGCTATTGAAATAATATCACGCACAGTAGCCACTCAGCTATGGTGGCCGATACACATTATAAATAGTTGCAAACTCAGTGGATACCAGGTGTACCCCTTCACATAAATAACAAACTGAGCATTTTTACTTGCAGTGGAATGAGCTATCGTCCAAAAGAAGATTGACAGTCACTATGTGTAAACAAGAACCAACATTACGTTTACCTTTTTCTTTCAGATGTAATATGCTGCCTAGATAAGATATTTATGTTGATGAAACACTGGCTTATTGAAACAGTAAAATCAAGATTGATTTATGCCACCCATTTCAGTGTGCATCCATAAATTTGAAATGTTGCTATCATACAACTAACAGGAGTTTTCAACAATGACACAGAATTAAGGCCATCACTAAATCAATTAGTATTAGTATTTATAAAGCTCGAGTTCATTCCATTTAATTAAAATAGAGACTCGTGTTTCACAAAAAAAAAAGCACTAAAAACATCAATAAGTTTGTTACCAACTAAAGAAGAAACATTACAGGACACTTTAGAAATCCACATTTGCTGCATGAGTAACTTGCACATCCACTTTAAACCAAAATGTCCAAGTCAAGAAAACTTGGGGAAAATTACCTGTGTTTTTAAGAGATATCATAAAGTTTCAAAAAATTCATGCAGTTTAAAATGCCCACGACTTGCTAAAGACTAACCCACATCATCTGTATGACGTATGTGAGTATCCACAAATTGGCAATAGCCATTCTCACGTCTATTTTATTGGGCGTTTGTATGTGTGTCCAAAGATATCACCTAATTATTGCCAGCCAAGGCATTTACGGCTATGGCAAAAGGTATAAAGCACTCTTCTGTAGTCGCCCTGCCACGGTGGTCTAGTGGCTAAGGTACTCGGCTGCTGACACACAGGTCGCGGGTTCGATTCCCGGCTGCGGCGGCTGCATTTCCGATAGAGGCGGAAATGTTGTAGGCCGGTGTACTCAGATTTGGGTGCACGTTAAAGAACCCCAGGTGGTCGAAATTTCCGGAGCCCTCCACTACGGCGTCTCTCCTAATCAAATGGTGGTTTTGGGACGTTAAACCCCACAAATCAATCAATCAACTCTTCTGTAGTCCACTTGATAATATCATAATTGATACAACAATAGCATCATATCTGATATTCAATATTTTATGCTTCTTATGCTGCTTCATAGCAAAAGATTATAAGCAATAAAGCTGTGGTGTCTTATAAAAATAGATGTGGGAATGGTTCGTCTAACATTCATAATCATTCAGGCATGAAATCAGCCAAGAATAGCAGAGAGTTTCTTTTGTGTGAACTGGAGCGTATAAATGTCTCAAAAATACCCTTCTCAACTTGTTGACACAAAAAGAAATTGTGATGTATGTATTGTTGTAGACATCCTGAAGTGATTTCAGGCAAATTAAGTTTAGATAACCTAACACAATAGTTAAAGCAAAGACCTTTTTTATGCATGTTTCGAATTTGTGTAGAAGCCTCACCTGCTCCTTGCTGCAGCAGACTAGAAGCCGTAGTAGCAGCAGTTGTTGGTGCGGTGGTGCTGTCCACAACATCGCCTGTCCAGAAGGGTTCACCTCCAATTTCTGTATGAAAAAATGAAGACTGCTGTGAGTGCCTTGCTTTACACTGGCAATGAACAAAGCTGCCACTAGCTATAAAAATCGGTGCATGAAAAAAAATATTCACGACTGTTGAAGTGTGAAAGAACCAGTCTAAATCCAGGTATATTCTGAAATTTGCTTAGTCTTTTCAGGACCGGCCACTCATTGCAATATTTGATGCTATCTGTGTTCACATGCTTTTTATGGTATCTCCTGATATATTTTTCTCCATAAGATGCTGCATTTTTCCAGCAAGAAAAAGGAGAGTGTTTTGATATGCGCAACAAGTGTTTCCAATAAAGTTACATTTTATTTGATCACATGCCATTGACTACACTTAGTATCACAGAAAGTAATACTGCAGCACCATGTCTGTTTAAAGGTAAGGACTACAGGACTAGGCTAGTCAAACAACTTTAGCAAAATTTTAAACAACTGAATTTCGGTCTTTTTATAAAAATTAAGATGCGGTCGAGTTTACTTTTCAAAAAAGTGGAGCAACAGACCGAAAATACACATGTTATTTCAAAGTTATGAGTAATATTGAAGTTACTATATGATCAAAAATGAATAAAATTGACTCATCGTGTTGGCAATATTGGCAAACATCGTCAGAACAGCAAACCAGCTAAATTTCAGCAACTTAACAATGCTTGACAATATCTACAGTCGATTGGCTGCATTAAACTTGAACATAGCAACAGCTAATAGTGAACAGCATATAGCTCTGCTTTCAGTACACTTGGAGAGACCATGATACCCAATTTTCGATCATAATCTGTGTTACATTGGTTGATCCTTGTGCATTCACGAACAAGATGCCGAAACTTTAGCGGATTTGTTTGAGTGCCGAATTTATAATTTAACATTTTTATTACATGTGGGCTACGTGAGAGTCCAGCTTCACAGTGCACTCGTGAGCAGTGACATAACAAAGTTGTGCGAGTGTCTGTATTCCAGTCTGTGGTCAGAGCCAATTGAAATTTAGATAACTTGGCTTTTTCCAGTTTGGCATTGAAATTGAACAATTTGCAGTGGCTAAGATTCGTTAGAAGACTACATCTCTGGTCCTTCCAGTTCATGACATGACATGCACTATGGCAAAATGGTTGTCGCAGGCCATGGGCGGAGTTTACAGCCGGCAACTTCTACGTCTTGTTCTGCACCAAAATATTTTTTGATGGTGAACTTTTATAATCTTTATTGGCATAGTAGACCCTCTACTTTTAGTTTCTGCTGAAAACAACAAATAGTAAAGTGACCAAGTGTGACCATAAAGCAGCACACAGACTTTGACACTTGATGTAAGAATCTCCCTTTATTAGAGTATTGTAGGGCATCATAGAGAAAACTATGGCATGCAAGTTTGCAAATGATATGCCCAATTTGTTGAGTCTATGTTAATATAAAGTAGCATCAGGAAGTGATAACTGTACTCCTGCTTCACATACTTCACTTATATGATAGGATCATAGTTTTGGTAAATTATATGAAGCAATACTAGAAATACTATCTAGTATTTCCAACATCGCAATTACAAATAGATTTTGGCAGACAATATACAAACAGATTTTGGCATCCTACTCAGCTTTGAAGTAAAATTGTATATTGAAGAAATAAAACTAAATGCTGGCAGAAATTTGTGAGTAAAGGACAAATAACTTCACATAATCATCATGAAGCTGAATATTGATTTTTGGTATCCTGTAGATAAAAAATGCATGTTATGGAGTTGAGCTTTTGCAGTCCATTCGCATTTGTAGATATGTTAGAATTTCTTGTACTAATATGTAGCTCTCGACATTTCGTGGTTCATATAACAGCATAAGACAGCAGTATCCTAAAGGCCTATATTTAACGAACAGGTAAAGATACTCACCAGACTCCGGCAACAGCAGTCGGCAAGGAAGAGCCAGCGGCGTGATGGAGTGCTGGTAAACAAGGGCAGACAGGCTCCCTGCATACGAATGCACAAATGTACTGAAAATTTCGCTCAGAATATTATGCACAATTACTACAAATCATGGTGGGGAAGTTGTAAGCTTTGTTTGCCAAGTTTCACTCTGTTTTGTAATAGAATTAAACAGAAACAGAAGCTAAGGTATTGTACAAGCTTGCATACAATTTACATTCAGTACAATTCAGTTATACAGCTTATTTATTTTCAGAAAAAAAAAACAGATGTGAACTTAAGAAATGCTGTGCATACTTCAAACACTGTCGAAAAAAAAATTAAAGTTAGTTCATTCAATAGTGGCATAATGCAACATGTGGGACAACAGCTGGCACGATTTAAGTGCCCCCACCTCACTTCCACAAATATTCATGTCAGCATCACTCAATGTTCAGTTATTAAATAATGTTGGCATTTCCAGACCGTTCTACTAACATATCAGTGTATACACTGCAGATCATTTGGGAACAGTTATGTGTGGCATGCAAACAGCACTCATGCCACCAGTACTTGACAAAATGCTGTTCTGGCAATTGAACATATATGATATGATAGACAATGCATGAACTGTGCTTTGTTTTGTTTTTTTAGCATATTTTTGCCACTGTAGGCCCCCTAGCAAGTGCGAGATCGAGTGGTAGCACAGGGATGGTAGCAGCATTGAGTTTCCTATAAGTACACTAGAGGAAACTTTGGCACTAGCGTCTATGGGAGCTGCAATCCATGGCGCTTTAGCGAGCATGGCAATAATTGGTAGTACATGAATTTGCCTGATCTTTGTACTTTCTGGTCCGTTTGGCTTTGCGTGGCTTGGAGCTGCTTTGTTACCAATCGACAATGAGCAAATGTTCAGCAGTTGCACTTCAACACCTTAAACATTTAGGCTCTCCAATCCAAATCGGGTCACGAAGATTAAAACTGTTTGTTCCCTTATTCAATGTAAAGCCAAATTATTGCAATAAAAAAAGCCACAAGAGCGTTCAAAGCCTGCAAGCACGAAGACTAGTCAAATCCGTGTACTACCCATCATTCCTATGGTTCTGAAGTGATCGCAGCGCCAGTGTCCCCTATAGTTAACTTTAGGAAACTTTGTGGGTGGTCGAGCTGGGAGTAATTCTACAACAGCTCTAATGTCAGCTTGAAAATAGCAACATTTTCTGCCCCAGCAAGTGAAACAACAATTCAAAATGAACACTAGTTTGCTTATTGGCTTATTGTGTTGTGTGCATACTCACACGATTCATGCCAGCAGTAGAATGTGGAACATTGCCCTGGTTCCACTGATGTGGGCACAGTTATGATGCAATACATGCATCAATTCTCAACATTTACAGCCAATTGCACTTCTGCTTAGTCTCAGCGAAACCCACTTCAACACTTATGCCACATGCCATCAGGTAAGAATTGTAAGAAAATCAAGAGGCAACGCCCACACATTGGGCTGGCTGTTCTTATTTTGCCCTTCATCTTTCTCGTCTTTGCAGATCAAGTGCGAATGTGCACCCGAGTGCGGGTTTCCCTTTCCATCCTTAACGGGTAAAGAACAGCAGTTCAAGAATGTAAATGCACCTCGTACATTTGCAAAATCATTGCCAGCATAATATTTTAGATTGAGACACCTGATTCCCAATCGCTATTTCGTCAGGGGTTTAATTATGATGTTCTAGCTGAAATTATTAATCGGTATAATACTGTCCACTAACCTGGTACTTTTACTTTGCAGCAGCGTGTACTGTCTACAACAAACAGCATTATACGATACTGTCAGCTGTTCAGAACATCTCTAATCAGCTGTGGCTATTTTTCGGTCCTTTTCAGAGACTACAAAGCTGCCTTTATGGCCAACTGCAGCACAGTACAAATGTCCTCACATATATCTTTCCACACTACTTGACCACTCTTACTGTTTTTTCATGCCACTGAAATGTAACAGCAAGTGGCCATTCTGGATACTGCTTCGTTTTAAAGTTTAATACACTGACAACAGTGCTGTATATGTGGTGAACAACAATCTAAGATTTGGAGACACCTAGAGATACAAGCGTGTTACGAAAAAACAAAGAGAAAAAGAGTACTCACCGAAGACAGGTTCATTGGCACAGCCCTTGAGTCGAACTCCCTTGGCAGTAGGCTCAATCAAGAAATGCCGTACCAGCTCATTTGATGGGTCACCTTTATATGGATTATAGACAAATTTAGTATACACATGAAACAGAAAAACAAGTTTCATTCATATTTTAGAGAGGTCTATTTTCAATAAACAACTAAAGCCTCTATCTAAAGCCTGGGCTTGAACTCTGTTTTTTTTTTTTTTTAACTTGCATGAACTTTTTATGTAGCACGTTTCCACATTTCTCTCACTGCATTAGTTTCCCTACAATACCTTTCTGGACCTAATGCAGTTTAGAAATGCCTCCAGGATCAAAAGCATCGCATTTCTGCTAAGCATGTCTGCACCTCTAGTCATTTTATAATGCCTTTGTGATCAACATACACTTTACCAAGTGATAATTTCATGTGACAACATCATCATTTGACATCAAGCTATGTGACGTCAAGATGACATCACAAATCTCGTCAATCTGTGGCATCATGATGACGATTCTCTGCTGAACGATTTTCTGCACTGTTAGTGTTGACGCCGACATTACCGATCACTTTTCACATTTTACGAGCCACCAAAGGCTTCTGCCTCGGTAAGCAAAATGTGCACAAAGGCCACTGTGGTATCCTGGCTTATCTCAAGATCAGTGCCAGCATCTGCAAATACCAAAAGTTAATGTGCAAACGAGTAATGAGTAAGTATGTATCGCAAATCTACCGAGAAATAAAAGAGCACACTATGAACAAGTTTCTAAATATAACGAAAAGTGGCTACCTGATCGAGTCTGGACATTCGGAGGAGGGCTTGCCACCTTGAGTGCCAGACCAAATGCACCAGGAAATGAGTTGCTGTCCCGGACAATGAACGTGCCCGGTGGCTTTGTCTTCAACACGTGGATGGCTGTAAGAACGTGTTTCATTGCTTGTAGACAGCATTTCTCTTCGAAATTAGATGCATATATCCCAAGCTAATATATGTGAATGTGGGAGTTCCTTGAAGAAGATATATATTTATTTGATCATTCATTCGTTCATAGCCACACCAGACATGAAGCAAATGACAGAAGAATATTAGACTCACTTAAATGTATCGAATGCGACATGTGCCATACTTCCAAGCTGCAAACTGATGTAAAATGCAGCAGGAGTATCGCTAAGTTCTTCCAACCAAATAAGTTTATGGTACTGAGGCATGTTGCCAGTTACAGTCCTCAATTGAGTCAAGCTCAAAACTGGATGATATGCTTCATAAATAGAGCAGTAAGCAATTGTGAACAATCTTGGCTACTGACACGAGTCCGAAGAGGAATTACTACATGATAAAGCATATCGAATGCAATTTTCTCCGAAAAGTAAGAAAAATATCACACCAGAAGTTTTTCTACAGTTTCTAATTCTTGATACGCTTCCTTTGATCAGAAGACATTCTGAATATTCCATTTTATACCTCACTCATATGAGTTATTTTGCAGTTAAAAGGAGGAAGAGAAATTAAGGTGAACATTGCTTGATGACAACAGGACAATCCAGCATGGAAAGATATGGCTTTTTCTGAAATGCATCACCTATTCTGTGTATTGTTCTGAGCACATCTATACAATGTATTAATTCCTATGGTCAATAGTTGCCCCTAACTATCATACATGAAGATGATGTTCATATTCCACGTACTGAGCAAACACCATTGAATCAATATGGCTGTTCAATGTTATTGCAATTTTAACTACTATATTTGTACCACCTTGTATAGTGTCCATGTCTCTTACTTTCAATCACTTTTTCAAGTTTTATGATGCCAGAATTCAAGGAAGCATCTACTAGAAACATTTCTTAACGTTTCTATCAATAGGTCAGTTCTAGCACTTCAGTAAGCCACTGATCATTTGGCATCAAACAACAATCTCATTGTTGCAAATGTTTCTCTGTATATTTAGTTTAAACTTTGTACATTTGATATTCCAGCTTATCAATGAGTTTTCAGATGTTATTTTTTTACTTTGGTCTAGGAAGAGTACACTAAGTAGATTGTATTTCTATGTCGAGAATTTCACAGCAAATTCTTTTTTCTATTGCTGTGAATCTTCAATCCATCTCTACATTAAGGTTTACGTTGGCAGAATGCCTGCTGTACCTTGCTGCATTTCAATCAATCAGTGCAGGATGAGCGAGGACAGTTAGCACTTGAAGCTAATAAATGTCACAACAGATGGATTGCAAGAACTAACTGATGCTACATTTTGGCATTGCATGCTGCAGTTCTAGAAACCGTACAATTTCTCTCCATTATCTCATTTCTCGCTTCCTAGTTGACTTTCTTGCCTCTCTTAACTCCTTTTTTGCTTAAACACTGTCTCAGTTGAAGAGCTCCTTGAGTGTGACATATGTGATTGCTTCACTTTTTTAGATAAACAAGTACCTTCTTCCCTGCTGATGTTGGGCTTGTACCAATACTTGGAGGTGTCCTTAACAAAAACAGGGTGATGATGGATGACTTCAGGAGAATCTGTATTTGCAAAAAAAGAAAATGAGAAATGACTACAGTCACTACTTAAACCTACAACACTTAATAATACTTTCTGCTACACTTGTCATGGCTTAAATATAGGAGGGAACGCAGCATCTTCCAATGTTTAACCAACACTCCCAAGCTTCGAAATCAAGGCCTACTTATGCCTGTACATACTTGTGTTTAGAACACAGTAGTGCTATATATCGTATTGTGCATATAACTAAAATTTAACTTGGTATTTCTAAGTATGTGCCTATACAGAAGAACATCTCCAATATGTTTTTTACAGGGATGCAGATACATAGTAGCCAGGAAATGTGTGACGTGGGCATCTGGGATAAATTGAGAAAAAATGCTGCGATATAATAAAACCAGGCACGTTGCACACAGCTTTAACCAGAAAAAAACTATTCATCAGTTTAGTTTTGGCATTTCTTTCACACCTCTGTGAAAACCAGATCCTTTTCAAGCACTTAGACAGCCTTGTGGCAGTCCGCATCACCAAAACCATTGACATACCACATCAGTACATTCATTTCTGTAACAGTTTTCAACATATCAGGCAGTATTATCGTGGGAGTGACACGTGGAAAAAGGATTCCGATACAGAGGTGCCGGTCAATTCCTTACTGGGACCGGACTTTAGAAGCATCATACATAGAAAATATATAACCGAAGTTCTACTGTGCAAGAATAGAAAGCAGTGCTGGTTGCATTGGTGTAGGCATGTCAGTATGTCAAAGCAAATTTTTGTTACTGTGAATCAATGCATGAGCATGCTGCTTTGTGCATCTATCTTCTGTTACAGTGCATCCAGAGAGTGCTATGATTTGCTATGATAATACAGTGTCATGGGAAAATACTTCATAAAATCATGCATGTACAATGGTATTAGATTTTACTACATTAAAAAAGAAGACTGGGCAGCAACAACCAGTCAACTCGAGGTGTGCCTTATTAGGAAACCTGCACAATTTGCAAGAGACACTTGCTGGCTAGGTGCCATAGTTAATGCTTATGACACATGTACAGATGCAGTGTCATCAAACTCCCAAGAGGACCAGCTCGCATTATGACATTAGAATTTTCGCTTGTGGCAGGCCTACCAAGTCATTAACTTTGAATACAAAGCACCCAAGGTCCTCCTCATTCACCTGACCAAAAAGCTGTCCAGGCAAAAGCATGCAAGAAAGGGAAAGAAGAACCAAAGTGATTCGGCTAGAAAAGTCGACATATGCTCACCTGCCAGGGAGAGCATGCTTGACCTCCTCGACTGGCCAAAGTAGACTGTCGGTGAGCTCTGGCCATTGGGACTTGTTGGAAGTCCCGATGAAGGGGGCAGGCTCTGCTGCAAGGCACTCACGGTGGCCGGTGAGGGGCTCCTCCGGCTAAAAAGGAAGCTACCGTCAGTATGCTAAAACAATCCGGTTACCGAAGCTTATTTAGTTAGCGTACCAACAGTCAAGGAGACACAGCAAGAAAGCAGTACTTGGAAGAGGACGAAAGGAGAGCTAACCTATCAGTGGCACGCCTCACCTTTCCCGCTGTTCACTATGTATACGGGGCACTCGTCTCTATTCACAGCCGCTTAGCCTCTACCCCTCTTGCAGCGGCGCATTCGTCTAAGCCCCCAACTCCCGCCTCCCGTCTTCCTCTTTCTCGATACCAGCGTCCGCAAAGATGGTGCACACCTTGACATGTATTCCATGCGGTCTAACAGCGTACAGCGCGCGATAAAACCTGATCACCCTGGAATTTTACTGATCGTCACGGCTACGGTGGCATGGACGGCGAATATTTTCACGAAGCATCGAACACTGCCGCAGCGGCCTCTTAAGTTGCAAAGAGCAGCATCGCGCACAACTTGGGGTTCAAGCCCACGACCATAAGAATAAGCCGGTCAAAGCACGCGCAGGTCTATTTTCTAGGCATCTGAGAATATTAGAACGAATACTGCAATGTTCGCATTTGCTTCGACGTGAAATCGAAAATTTCGAAGCATTCAAAACAAACGAAAACAACTGATCACCAGTAATTTTCTGCAAAGGTGGTTTCACTGCAGCATGTTACTGCTATTACAAGAAACCACCTACCCAAAGAGAACGCGCCCTGCCGCGAAGCCGCACTTCAAAGTTAAATGTACCAAATGTACAGATTACCTGTACATCGATCAAATAGTCAAGTTTAAAAGCGTGTTATACGGACTTGTGTGCGCTAAGTATAGTAAATTTTGAAACGTGACGTATTTTGCCGCCAATAACATGTCATTTCACTATTCAAATCGTGCCACTACTGGAATTAGTTTCCACGTGCTCCCCATCGAACCAAAGAAAATTGACATTCGCATGCACTTATTTCCAATATTTATAAAATTGTGCAAGTTAGATGAGCCATGACCAAAATGCTTTCTTTATAACATGTGATATGTACTATTCTAACTATTCAATTCAAATTATTCGACCAAATTACTTTTCACTTTGAATTTCAAGCTAACAATTAGCCCATCCCAACCCTTTTCCCAATATGTTCCGCGTTTCAGAAACAAATTGGATCAACCGTAATTTTTCGCAAAAATGAGCGCACCATCGAGGTTAAGTTACCTTAATTGAGAGCTTATTTCGACAAATATTTCAAGTCTATACGAAATTCACGTGTTTTCCAGTTACGGTAAAACTGAAATGTGCAAGCACCCTGATGGTATAGTTCTGAAATTCATAGTATTTCTCTCTTTAATCATTACCACGATGTGAATGCCATGTCATTTTGTATCATTTAGTATTGACACTGTGTAAGGCACTAATGTGCTTTGATGTAAACCCGCCGCACAATGAATCTTTTGCTATATTGACCCCGTAAACGTCAATTTCGGTCGACTTGAAATCTTTGTCAGTGCTAAAGCAGACTATTGTTATAACTTAAAAATAAACAATTAAAGTATTAGCCAAAGCTCATTGCTTAATCAATGAAAATCATTGGCTATATTCACAAGAGCGGGCATGTAGACAAGCGCTACTCATAATGTTTATTCTTGGGCGTAGGCCCTGAATAAACAAAAAAAAAGTTGCAACAAGAGCACATGCGCGAGAAACGATAATGAGATGCCTAATTACATGAAGGTAACCAGGAATTGCTTCGCAGTGGTAAATACCTTCGCAAAAGGTGAGCGCTGGAGAAGCATCGACGCCGCAGTGCTGGCCTCAAAGCAAAAAAATCTCCTCGGAAAGAGGCGCTGAGGTTACGCAGGCGACTAAGAAATTCAGCCGGGCAAAAACAAAAGCGGGGATTGGAATCCAGCAGCATGCAAGAAAGCCAGGAAAATAGAAGCAGGTACATGCAAGGAAAGTTTTCTTTAGGTTTATTGAAACAAAGCGCATCACATATCACCAAGATAGAAAACACACTTTTCGTTAGTGGTCAGCTATTAACATCAGTTAGCTATATATGCAGATGATTTCAGGAAATCCAGCACGTTCATTCAAGCCAAGAGCACGACAAAGCTGCTAACATAACTTCCACCTTAAGGCGTACAAATAATGGAACGGTATACCGTCACCTCCTTCAAGCTGGTTTTCGCGATAATGACACGACCATTAGATTCGATCATTCCAGCGACTATAGGTGGCGCAGCGGAAGGTCAAAATGGCGGACGAGGCGGTGATGTCGCGAGGGTTTACGTCAGCGTCGCAGAGAGTGAAGACGCGTTCAACGGTTCATGATTACTGAGAGACCGAACTGCGTCGTAGTTTTATCACCATGTGACAGCTTCAGAGCACGGCTACATGGCGCCGCCTGCGTCGCTGGATTGACCAAGTACATGCCAACAGACTCCGCAAGACACTGCTTCACATCATAAAGAACACCGGCCTAATGTCGCACATCTAATAAACAAGAGTAATTATGTCTTAAAGGCAAGTATATTAAAAAAAAAACTGACGATATATATATATATATATATATATATATATATATATATATATATATATATATATATATATATAAAAATAAGGGAAAGAAGTGTATACCTAAGGGCTCGTTTTTTCCGTGTTTTTAACACAATAATAATGAGATATAACAGACAGTAATGCCAAGGTATGTACAGGGGAAGTTATTAACATTAATGGAATGTAAATAAGAAGAAAGAAAAGTGGATGAAAAAATTACCAACTGTAAGCAGGAATCGAACCTACGACCTTCGAATTACGCGTTCGATGCTCTAATAGCTCAGTGGTTAGAGCATCGAACGCGTAATTCGAAGGTCGTAGGTTCGATTCCTGCTTACAGTTGGTAATTTTTTCATCCACTTTTCTTTCTTCTTATTTACATTCCATTAATGTTAATAACTTCCCCTGTACATACCTTGGCATTACTGTCTGTTATATCTCTATATATATATATAAACGCCACAGGAAAGAAGGCAGAGGAGGGGGCTATTCGTGCACCATTAGGAGCTTGAATTATTATTATTATTTTATTATTATTATTATTCAAGGCCCAAGTGCTAGACTTCCGAAACGGGCAAGTGGTTTGACGCTATCTGAAATGCCCCACCAATCGAAGTCCCCTAATGCGCCTGAAGAACATACCAACCAGGGCGCACATGATTGCGGAATACCTCAGAAAGAACCGGTGTTGCATAGTAGCCACACAGACTATTATCTACCCGAATAGCATAAACCACGATCGCCGTTCTACAACATATACGGAGTCTAGCAGCCGAGCCCCCTATTTTCACTTTAGGCAAAACAGCATGAACTGCGACAACCCGCGGACCGACTCTCCGGTGAGAGAGGCACACGGGGACGGAACTATTGGGCAATGATTCGCGCTGATAGCGAGCGATAATCCGCAAACAGAAAATACGATTAACGTTATCATCGGCGGCGGCAACGGTGGTGGCCGCGAGTTCAAAGCCAGTGCCAAGAATCGGCGGCAGGATTTGCGGGTTGCGTATCTCAGAATAGCGGCGTGTTACACGCACGATAAAGATGAGGGGCCACAAACGAGAGGAAGAGAGAAAGAAAGTCAGTCAGTTTTGCTAGCGGCAGGGCGAAGATCGAGGAAAGCTCTTCTCGGAACTGAGCTGTTTGACTCCTGCTCGAGCAATAACTCGCGTTGGTGGCAGTCGCATTTCAATGTCACCGCGCGTGAATTATGCCGCACCGCACTTCCGGAATGAAGCATTAGCGGTACTGCAAAATTTTGGTAGGGAGATAAGCGAGCTACCTTTGGTGTTCTTACAGTTTAACAAGTTTTAGGTGATATTCAGAATAACAGTGCAGAATGTATATGCAGGTCACAGTGTACCTTTCCAACACCTTTATGCATACGTATGTCACAAATTTACGTAAAACGCCACCACACACTTGCGTGCAGAAAACCACCGCAAGGTGTTTTTTGAATGCAAAATAGAAATCACTCTACACCATTAGGTAGATGAAGCGACAGTTTAGATACAGAAGACTTCGCGATACCGACAAGTACAAAAGGTGAAACCACCCCGTCTCACTTACCGCGAAAGGGTTGGGCTTTTAGGCGGTAGTCCCCCCGACGAGTCTGCGGAGATAGAGATGACGGCAACTCGTGAAGCTCTTTGCGCTAAATATCAGATGAGATGTCACAACAGCAGCGTCCAACGCGTCTATGCAGAGTGACTGTCGTCTTCTCACCTTGATTCATGTAGGGCGTCCGCGGAGGCACAGGAAATGCTGGCGTGGCCGGCCGGTCCGTCCCGCTGGAAGGACTGGCCGACGGACTGTCGTCCGTTCCCCTCGTGGGCCAAGGCGACGAGCCTTCCAGGGAGCTGTCGTCCTGCCCGTACTGCCGCACATTACACACTATTGTAAATATATTTGTCACCGACACCTAGTATGGGATTTTGGACATTTAACCGATTACAAGTTTGAACCCTTTGGTGATGCACTTAAAAGAAAGCGAGACAGACAGGACGGGACGGTTGTTAGTAGCGCCTGTCCCGCTGGTGTTACCTCTCTGCCCTGTTTATTGAGCTATAGTTTACCTATTATACTAGACAGGTAACTGTATTCATCGATCGATGAAAGCCATCACGAAATATAACGGGAGCGAAAGGTGACCTGGCAATGTAATGATATGTGGGGTTGATGGTTGAGACATGGCAATGTAGAAAATACCTGCCAGCGCTACATCTAAGACTTATCAGAATACACATTATAATGTAACGAAGCCTCCCATGTGTTCTTACAATATTTCTTATGTGAACCTCATTAGCTAAATAAACGGTGAAAACTTACTCAAGACACGAAAGCAGCTTTATAAGTACGCAGAAAAGGTGTACCAAAACTTTTTAATTTTCTCTTGTTAGCCGGGAGGGAAAAAAAAGACTGCGCCAATCGTCTTACCTTGTTCGGAGTTGACTGGGCTATTGGTGCCATCTCACGCAATTGTACCGGTTCTTCTACCTTGTATTGTGCTGCAAAAACGGAAACGTAGTTGCAGAGTGTGGTGCGGAAACTTCTATACGTACAAATCATTCGTGAACTTAGTGAACATTCGTGCAATGAAAAGGGTTGAAAGATACGTTGCATTTTGTTAGATGCTTGTTTTACAGAAGAACAACACACTATTACAGCAGATACACAAATGCGTGTACTGTGTCCAGGAGGTTAGAGTCATGCGGTTAATGAGGCATTGAGAGCGAATTATGAAAACAAGTCGTAGATTCGAAAACAGCGTTAGCTTCCTGGTAGTGCAAAAATTTTGCAACAGAACGGAAGAAGCACATATTAAAAAATGAAGGAAGCGGGACGTAATAGTTAATAGGCCTGCATCAACACAAGCCGTATTACTCCAGCCTTTTTTATTCTAGGCTTCAGCACACCAACCAAAATACAAGTAAGTAGTTGCCTGCAAATAACTCTAGTTAGTAAGTAAAAAAAATCGATCATCCTTACGGTTCTATAATATTCTTTCTGTTCCTACGTGGGAGCGGCCCGCAACGTGCTAAAGGGCGTACCGAAAGACCTAATAAAGTGCACCTATCCATCCACCCATCAATAATCCTAATAATAACAATAAATTCTGGAGTTTTTACGAGCCCAAAACCCCAATTCAATCACAAGGCGTGCCGTGGGGGGGGGGGGAATACGGATGATTTTCCTTTACGAGCACTGATATCAGACAGCGCATGGGCCTATAACATTTCGCCTACATCGAAATGTGACCGCCGCGGCCTGGACAAAACTCGCGACAATTTTTGTTAATTTTTTTAACAAGTCTATGATACGGACAGAGGTGAAAACTTAAAAAAAAAGTCACAGTTTCGCCGCAAGGGCAAAGCAATGAATGGGATAACAACAACTTGGATTGTAACGCTGAGAACGGCAAGCAGATCGAAACGTGCAGCGCGCTGCTCAAACACACATGACACATGAGAACAACGTACACAGAACGAGAGCGAACTATCAATGTTTACCGTGCGACACTTAACGCGCTGTTTAAACAAAGCGACTCACACAACGAAATCACAAGCACAGATAAGTGCAAACTGACAAGTTTCCCAGTTGTTATACTTCGCTGTGTATGAAAAGCATGCTCCTTTCGCAAACGGGGCCTGTGCAGCGAGCTTGTGGCCTTTGTGGGCCCGGGAACTAACGCAATCGTACCGGTGAAAGCCGAAGACATGATTCTCCCCACCCGAAGATAAGCACGCAAAGAAAACGTCTACCCCCCCCCCCCCCCCCCTTTCGCAGGGCAAAGTACGCGAAGGAGATGAGCGCGCGTCGGCGCGTTGTGACGAGAAGGGCGCCGAGCTCGGGCAGACTTCTTTTTCTTGAGTTTTCATATATTAGATACGTATACATATATGGTGAATGATGGCGGCAGCAGCGGCAAAAAAAACATTCGAGACTGTCCATATAATTGCTATTACAATAATACATATTGAAAAAACGGCATAAATGTGGTGCGGAATGCCAGACATGCTACAGACATGCTACAAGTTGTACAGACGAGAACGGTGTGCGATGTCATTATCATCAGGGGGTTTGCTACGCGATAAAATTCTAGCAGGGGACAGACATGAATTACTGGCTATTTCTAATGCTCCGGAGCAAATGACTTGCTTCTATGGTACATGCTATCTCACTACGGTCCGCAAATTGTGTGTAGGTTTGCTAAGCAGCGACAGCTGCCCTTCCCGCAAAAATGAGAACGAAGCGATTGCGTATAATGCATTTCCACCAGGTAAGAGCTTACGTTTTTTTTTGTTTGTTTGATTACTCAACAAAAAACTAAATCACCAATAGATCATGTTAGCACCATTTAAAAGCAATATGAAGTGCTGAGAGTGAGTCATTGGGCAAATCGAGCGTGTAACAGGCAGGAGTGTGTTCCGAGTGCAACATACGCATTCATACAATAATGATTACCACGTTCTGCTCCAAGCCGGTGCATAACTTCATGATGCGCGTAATAAGCATGGAATGCCAACCAAAGGTGCTTTGGTGCAATGCAGGGCCAGGAATCATTCATACTCATGCTGCTTGCTGGCATGACAAAGAGAGAGCCACCGAGTGAACTTGAACGTTTTCTCGAACAGTAACATTTAAGTTGTGTCTAGCCGATCTGTCTCGCGACGTTCACGCAGCTATATTACGTAATTGCCCTACATTATATACGTCGCTTCGATGCTGATGACTATGCAGCGAGTACAGGTAACGAAATGATAGAAGAAAAGTCATTTGGAGCGAAAAAAGAGAGAAAACAGAGCATCAGGCAGTGATGGTATCAAATTTTTGGAGTTTTTCATTTATTTTTTGTGCCCACACGCGCTAGATAACTGCAAGTGTAAGACGTTCGCATTAAGTATTACAAGCCGCTGTGCCAGAATATAGCTAACTCCCCGTCATTTGGAGCTAAATGGGATTCTACTTTTCCTGTGTTCTGCCGCTCCACTTGTGGCGTGTGAGCATGCTAACACTACTTGTAAAGTTCTTTGCACTGCGTGGCGAGCGTGTCTCGCCCAAAAGCCACACTTTGGGTTACAACTACCGGGTTGTAGGCGGCGTTGAGTTCGCAAGAATTGATCACCACTATAATCATCATCATCATCATCATGGTATAGCGCCGGCGGCGATAACCTTTGGTAGCGGCGAGCGAGAAATAAGTTGGTCTCTTCTGCGCGTGGCGGTTGCCGCGAACGCTTGTTTCTAGCGTGGGTCCGCCTTGGGTGTGCTATTGTGTTTGTCATATTTTGGAGTGTACGGTAATATTGTGTAAGGATGTCTTACCATGTTAATTACAATTGACGTTATAATAATTCGGCGGACGATATTGTCGTTTTAAAATTAGTTAAATACATGTAATTTGTTGTTTGGTTTGGACCAACCGTGTCTACTGTGTTCGTTCACTCCAAGAGCATGGTGGTGGCGCTCGTGAATTCGCGACCCCACAGGCGATACTCATTAAGAAACCCAAACATTACGCTAGTTTCTGCGCTCTCATGTAAGTGTGGCGCGGTGCACCGCTGATCCCAATTAAGCCCGATTGGAATCAAATTCAACAGTGATAGGCTCCCTTTATTCAATTCACGTAAAGAAACCTACCCGATAAAGAAATTTCTCTTGGATCAGGCCCGATAGCGATAAAAAAAGTGACCGTAGGATGGCGGCATAATATATCCTTCCTGCAGTACAAAGCCAGCTGACTTCCTAGGAACAACGTTCACAGGGTAGCTCTCTCTCTCGAGCAAGCTCAACTCGACTGGAAAGAGCTAACCTGTCCCGACAGGAGAAGACGTCTTCGGCGCCGTCGAGAACGGCGGGTCATTCAACATGGCCAGAATGTCGTCTCGCCTCGGCGGCGGAGCAGTGCTGGCGGATGGGGGACTACCGGCCAACACACCCGGTCTCCGCGCGGGATCACTAGGATCGCCGTACACGACCGACGACGATATGAGCCGATGCGGAGACGTACCTGGCGCGTTGCCGGCCGCCAAGTGGTCTCGCGCCTGCTGGTGTGTTCGCTTGGCCTCCACGAACGGCCTCTCCCGGTCGAAAGACGTGTCCGATTTCTGGCGCACGATGGGCTGCACGGTTGTCGGCAGTGGCTGCGGCTGCCACTGAGGGTACCTGCAAGACACGCGAGGGGAGGGCCGATTTAACTTAAACATGGTAATAAGTAGTCGAGATGGGCATATGGGCTCACTCAAACATCTCTCTCTAGTACACAATGCCACAATTCCTACAGGAGACCTGCAGGCTGTTGAATACGTGATGGAATTGTCGGGCGTGGCTGAGAAGACTCCAGCACTGTAGCCTTCTTGCGCAACCGACAAGTACGAAATTCATCTACCTGTGAGCACATTGCGGGAATGCATTTATACAAAAAGCATGATGGTCCACTTCGTGCGCATGCTACAAGAGCAACTCGAGAATGCGTTATTCGTCATATTAGCAAGCGACATCAATGAGTGATTGGGTTTAACGTTTTAAATCTAAACCACGGCTACGGAAAGACTTCTTTTTCTTTCCTTGCAGCTCAGGCCTTTCAGCGTGTGCGGAAGTTTTAAAATGTGGTGAGCTTATCCGCAAAAAATAATCCATGAACTTCGTCCTCGATGAAACTTCCGGAGTCTACTGAGTTGTGCAGGGAGACAGGGTTTAAACTCGAATACATATATTGACAAGTATATATGCGGTTTAGCTTATAGTAAGCAAAGCGGCTGCTTTTTGACTGCGCAAACTGTATAAGCACTCGCCCTCACCCCCCTCCCCCGAGAGGTCACCTACTGTTGCAGGGGAAACATCTCGAACGACAAACAATGATGTTCGATGCATGTCTAATATGGTACTAAGGGCTGAGTAGATACTCCTCTCACCTGCGCAGCGTCACATCCCGGCTGCTTGTCCGCGACGGTATGATGGGCGACGTTGGTGCACTGAGGCCACGATGGATCGGAGGCTTGCTGCTCGTGTGGATGTGCAGTGGCGTTGAGTAGTTGGTGCCCTGCGAGTAGTCGTGAGCGGTCGCCATGTTCCTGCCTCGACAGCACACTGTCAATGCGTTTCTGATATGATCAGCCACCAATACCTGCGAGCGCTAGCACAAATGCCGCCGCGTCCACATGGCACAGGTGCAGGTAGCATCGGATTCCTGCTCTGTCCGTAGCCGTAGCAAGAACACGCGTGAAACGAGTTGTCGTGCAAATAGTATTTGTTATAGTACCCCTACATGCTACTAGGCAGGGGAAGAGGTCTCTGCACGCGTTGGAAGCTTTTTGAAGCTTTCTTGATGTGGCTGTTCCCACGCGCACACGCATATAACCCCCCCCCCCCCCCCCATTAGCGGGGCAAAGTATACGCGTGCGAGATAAGCGTGCGTCCGAGTGCGGGCGCCGAATTGCAAACGCCGAGCACCCAGCTCGGCGCCCAGTTGGAGGTTGGGAACTGGGCTCAACTTCCACACCTTTGCGTATTAAATTTCAACAGCAACATTTAATTTTCTGTAGCTAAACTTCTCTGCCCGTGAATGCGATACAAAACTAGTATCCATCAGAGAAAACGAACGAGACTAAGTTACGCACATTTGAGAATTGACATAAAGTCAGCGGATAATAAGAAAACTACGAGGGCAAACCTTGAACGTTCCAACGTCGCCGTTCAGCGGTGACATGTCCACAGTGCCGTTCTGTGGTTCGGGACTACGCATCGCGGTGGCGGTGCGCAATTCTGCGATCAACTGCCTCTCCTTGCGATGCCTGTCTTCCCACGAACCTTCCCGGCGGGCACGCAATTTCTGCTGTTGCTTTTGTAGCCATGACTGACTGTAAGAGAAATATCACAGGAGTTGTAAAGATATTGCGAGAGAAAAGTGGACAAATTGTAGAAGCGTCTGAGATAGCTTTATATGATATCAATGGGTCAGCATGTTATCTATTGTTTTATAAGCTCGATTGTTTCACTTAGACAGCATGCGTACAGCCACCCTTTTTTTTTTTTTAAACCTGAAAGCACGAGCGTTGAGCACCCTGTCGATAATCGGCGTTTAACGTATCACAGCGGCGAAATGAACGAGAATACATGCATGTCTGCAATGAACAGTCCTCTGCAGCTGTATTATAGGCTCTTCCTGGAACCAGACACGAGGACGTCCGGACCAGGCGCTTAAAAGACTCGGCGGTTGACGCTCACACGTTCATGTTAAAAAACAAAGGCGGCTGTACATTGACCTTCTTTATGTCAAATCAGCTATTTTGAACTTTAACGAATATATTACGGCACGATCGCCTTTCCCTTCTCCTCTATTTATAATGTTAAACGCAGGGAAGACATATAGCATCTGATAGACAGGTGTAGATTACCCTCTGTTGTAACCATCAGTCCAGCATTATTCATTACACTAAATAGCAAAATCTCGAAGTGCGCTCACCTTCCCACCACGGGCTCCGGGCTGAGCGAGGCGTCTCGCAGTGTGCCGTAGCTGCGATCCTCGAACGAGTCCCTGGCCGACTCGGAGTGCGCTCGTCGGCGCCTGAGCGCGGGGCTGCCGTACTCGACGCCGTACGAGAAGGGCGACGTGGTTCGGTGGCCGCTGTCCGGCGACCGGCTGTCGAACGACTCCTGGTGGTGCAGTGGCCAGCGCTGGTAACCAGCTGGGTGGTGGTCTCCGCCGCCGTTGCGCTGCACCACCGCCGTCGGAGGCTCCGAGGATGTGGTGTGCGACGAGTACGAGTAGTAGATGGTGCCGTGACTGCGACGAGACGTACCCCTGGTTCATATACGCTTGTGCGACCATTGCGGGGGAAGGGGGTGGGGAAGACTACTTTCACCAAAGTGTCCAGCTCCCTTTCCGGTGGTTGAGTCAGAAATAAAATGGAAAATAAAATGCGAAAAATGGAAGCAAAGCGTTGACATGCTTCAAACAACGGTCGGCCAAATCAGTTCCCATCTTTATGAGGGTAAAGGAGGGTAATTACACGTTCTTAAATTAAAATTAAGCGGTCCTTGCAAGAAAGCATACTAAAAAAAAAAACAAGTTTACACTAGTCCTAAAAAACTTAAGAAACAGCTAAAATGGTTGATCTTGGGAGCTCAACGTGGCCTTATGCTATAGGTTTTTCATTGGCGTAGACAAGGTAGAGTCGAGCCAAAGCCTATCACAGACCGTGCAAGAATGTACAAACTGCAACACCGAAACTTTACCGTGCAAAGCTGGCTGTGGCGCCCCCGGTAGAAGTGCGGGTCTTTCGTCTCTCGAGCGTGGCTCGCGCGTCGGAAAAACTCGGCGCGGCGACACCGCGGACTGCCTTTACCGGTGGGTGCGGCTGACAAACAACGACGCATGATAAAAACGGCGCGGAGCGTTTTTGGCGGACACCAGACATTTCACCTCGAGCTTCAAGAGTTTCCCTCTTTAAAGCTGTGTCGCTATCACTCTGTATTAACAATATCAAAAGACTTCCGGCTAAGTAAATGTATCAGTTGAAAAACCAGCCGAGGTACGCACCCTGGATTCGAAAACGAGCTGGGACTGGCGTGGGGCAGCGTGCCGTACGAGTGCGACGGATTCGGGCGGCTCCCAAGTGCCGGATTTGACGGGTGGTTGGGCATGGAGCGGATCTCTCGCAGCATCCCGTCCAGCAGGTCGTCCAACTCGGCGTGCTCTGACCGCAGGGGGTTCCGCGCTGCTGCTGGTTGCTGCTGCTGGTGCAGCTGGCCACCGTCAGCCGAGTGGTGCACTTCCACTTCTGTGACGATCACGGCGACAAAAGAGAGAGACGAGAATGGGAACAGGCGTTCAGAGAGTGTTTATTTTATCGCTCGGTATATCCACAACGTCCATGAAACACGCGGATTTACCCAAAGGTTCTGAAGTCGCGATGTTTCTGTATATTACCACTGACATTCGGAATCTCAAAGAAGAAAATGTTTTTTTTTTATGACCACTTAAGCAGCAATAATGTCACGAGGATCGTTTCGCAATGACTGAAGTTTTTTCATTAGAGCTAGCCACAAATAAAATTACTAAATACGCTATACTAAAGCGGAAAGCGCAAATATTATGGCTACAGCAAGTAGTAAAAATACTCATAATTAGGGCATACAGTAGCCGTTAATTCAAAAGTCAATCACCATATTACCTGATGGGCACACGCGTGTGAAAACTTATAGAATTAATGATTTAGTTCTACAATAATGAACAAAAATGCGCATTCGCTCGAGATGGCCATACATAAAATGTTACTGGGGCTGCCTGTGCGGCAAAGAAAGGAGTAATTAAGAACATTATGTTTATCATGGTGCTTTCAAAGCGTAAGAATCGATCTGCTATAAAGCCCTTATGACACTTTATGCAGCTAATGTGACCGCAACAACACGTCGGTGTCAGCATCAGTGAATTCAGTATGTGTTCGGTATCTCAGATCCATAGGCTTCTATAAAGTGAAGGAGGGCCCATGGCGTTTCGTAAAGGTGAGTGACATGCAGTCCAGGTATAGAGTCCCTCACCGACGGTGCCTCCGTTGGGCACCTTGTGGAGCAGCCCCTGTGGGCTAGGGTTTCCGTGCAGGCCCGAGGAGGAGGAGATGCCAGAGTCCATGCTCACAGTATGCGGCCCGTCTAGCACGTCAGTGTCGGCGGCAGCGTTGGGGGAGGAGGGGAAAAGGGGCCGTCGTCCACGGGCTGCCTCTTTGTCACCACTGCGTAGAGGTTTCCGTCAAGGGGACCCTCTGCGTGGGGAACTGGAAGCCGGGAGAGGAGCCGAGCACGCGGGCAGTTAGCCGGGTTAGCGCAAGGGCAGTCAGCGGACAGGCAGAAAAGAAGCACACGCCGCTACTCATACCACGTGGAACAATGAGGAAACCTAATGTAACGCTGTGCTGGGCGAACTGGCATATCGTTTTAAAGCAAAAGCAGAGCGCGAGAAAAACAGGACAAGAAAGACAAGACGACGGTACGAGCGCCCGCCCCGTATGCTTGTCCCTCTTGCCCTGTCTTCCTTGCTCCCTGCTCTTATTTTGATTTTTAAAAAAACTGTATATTCATTGCGGAAAGCGTAATAGGCGTTCGAACCGGCAAGCGAAGTTTAGGGGTTTCGTTAACGAAAGACGGAAACCACGCAACTGCAGTCTGATACACGAGAAATATAAGAATACTGATTGCTTTTAGGCTGTCACTTTTTTGTCATTAAAATTATTCATTTAGCATACCACACATGATGTGTTTCTACATGTTCGTGTTTCTATTGCAGAAGGTCGGACGAGGTTTACTTTTGCTTCGGCATACACACGTATTCGAAATATACAGCAGAAATTCGTTGATACGTTCTCATTTGTGCTGTTTGTGATCGTAAAACTGCGAAATCTGCGAATTGGCAGAAAAAAAAGAGGGAAAAAGAAAAAAATGCAACAAGCTCGTGGAAATCAGGGCGCAGGCATCCTGTATTCTAACAGCAAAAAAGATGATCTGGTTATCGCAAAGTTCCGGCGAGCTGCTAAGCATATCGCGCATGTGAATTGCACCATGTCAAACTAAAAGCAAGACAATTGCCAACGCATCGCATTTTGTACGGAGGAGGGCAGATGGTTACCCCTGAACCCCTCTACCCTGTTGGTTACACCTGTTGCAGTCGTTTGGCCCCGCATTGCCGTCGAGTCAACGCGTAGATATTATTTTACTTCAGGGACATCCAGTTGCTCTCGCACACCACTGGTACAGCAGGGAATGACTGTCAATGAGCGCACATATTTTGCACGGCCTGTTCGCCCATCAAAATTGGCTGAATCCACGCCACGTGGTGGTGCACGGTCATTTCATCTGCTAGTACGAGGCCAAGGCCTATGATGTGCTCTAGTTTATCAGCGCTGTAAGTTTTCCATTTACACGAACTTTATAATTAACATTATTGAGTACAACGCGGCTTGTGCATCCTTGAGTCATGTATTAAATTCTATCACGCACTTTGACCCAACGAGAAAATAGTGGTTTAAACCGCGCATTCTGTATATCGTTTTTTTTATGTGATCCGCCTGCAAAAGTCCAGCACTTTAAATTATAAAGCAGGACACAGCACGCAACCTCAACTGCTGCTGCCAGCATCGTGAGGAAATCTGCTCGTGATCACAAAGCAACCACGAGCCTAAAGCGTCACGCAACATGCTTTGATATTCATATCAGTGCTTCACTCTTCAAGTTAAGTAGCGCTATTTCTTTGTGTGTGTGATTCTGGATTGCACGATTTCTCGGATGGTACGTAACTTTTCGCATTTTTTTTTCTTGAAAAATGAGAGGTTCCAGAATATATTGCGAACAACTTTAAATATGTCATTACTTCCGGTGATGTGCCTTGCGTTTGAATCGTGAGCTAGCTTCGTATGTCTACACTTAGCACAAGCTATTAGCATCCACCAAAGGATTCAGTCTCAGAACATGCTTCAAATCACGGAAATCATGAGATGCACCATGCATGCAAGCAGGCACCGCCACAACAAGCAGAAGTAGGTGTACAAATATGTCATGCTTAATAAAATGCAATAATATTACCTACCAGAAATGTTGGTCGGCTCGATTAGATCGTCCAGATCTAAAAAAACAAAAAACAAAAACAATTGCACAAAACAGGCTTTTGAATAAAGCTTTCAGGATGGCGGTTTCGACACGTCATCATAACCAAGCATAGCATGACCGAGAACGTGTTTTGATAGATGCTTACCACTTTGGCTGTCTTCATGAATGAGGTCGAAGTTTTCGTACGAGTCGTGCCTGACCAGAGGATCTTTCGTCTGGTCGGCTGTGCTGACGACATCGGACACAGAACCGTTTCCTGCAGAAACCATAATTAAAACTCGTCGCATAAACAAGCACACTCGAATGAAATTAATACGAAACAGCGGCTAAATCCTGAGTATAGTCTCTACCTGATGTTTCTGTCAAGGCTTTATTACGCCTAGGTGATTTGGTATTCTTGTGAACTAATTTGAAGAGACCACGTTGTAATGTTCTTTACACATCCTCTGTTCAAAAGCGCACTCCCGAGGAACCTCACCTCCCTCAAAAATTTCAGATTTTAGCATGTACAGTCACAGATATGAGAACATGTATACAGGCACATATACAGGCTTGTACAGATCAAGCATATATGCAGATATACAGGCATATATACAAATACATACCGGCACAAATGCAAACACACGCACGAACATAGATAAAAAAGAACATGGTACCACTCCGAATAAATTCCAGCGACGCCCCGGCGTCTGTTGCCCCTTCGTGTTATGAAATGTACGTGACACGATTAAGTTCAGGCTTAGGTTATGCGACTTTGCTTACTTTTAAGAATGCTTTTCTTGGGTTTCTATATTAACTCATTCTATATGAAAAGAAAATCAGCCCTTTGACTTTTCTTTTTTCAAGTCCTGACTTGTCCCGCCACTATATGAATGACTCCCTTTAAACAGACATGTGAACACTCTTTGGAGATCATTGTACTCTCTTTGGAGAGTCGTGTGACTCGCAAGAGAGTTAAGGTGTCTCCTTAGAGCGACTCACATACGTATCAAGATATAACTCACAGAAATGAGTAACACATACTCTTCTTTTCCTTAAACTGCAGTCATAAATGAGCACAGGTGCCTTCAGGAAAACAAAAAAAAAAAAACAAGGGCCACGAATTCTTGAGAAAAGCGTTCGCAAGATAGTGAAACTTACAAATTCACAGTGATGATAAATCTTAGTAATGATGTGCATCTCTTTATTTTACCTCGGAAATCATCAGGTCGATCTGAGAACAGCAACTCCACTTGACCGTCGTCGGGAAAACGGGGATCTGTTTGAAAACATGTGCGAAAGTGCGTTAGAAGACAATTGTGCCGTGACAAGGTACTTACTTAGAATATGAAACTAAGTATGCAATCGTCACGTCATGCACAAACGACTTAAGAGCAGTATTACTGGGCTCATGTATCACACTTCCCCGATGTGGGGACGTCCCATTTTGTTTCCATATCTACACTCTTAAACAATTACCCGCCTAAAAATCTGAATAAAGCCAGGAAACCGGACATTTTTCATCTGGTTTCTTAGCCATCATTTAACCATGACATGATTAAGAGTGATATTAAAAGTGGTCTCAATAATTCAAGTGCCGATGTGCTTTGGAGCGATGATGTTTATCAGAGCGACTTTTCTCTCTTTGGAGGGTGAGTAAGTGCATGGGCAAGGAACTAGAGCTTATCTATACAGTAAAACCTCGATAATACAAATCTTGCCGAGTCACCAAAAATGTTTGTATCATCCAAAATTTGTATCACCACAGAGAAGAGAAAACTAACATCCGACAAAAGAAAGCTCGGACATGTTCCTTTAATATTTATCATGACCGCACCAACGTCATGAACAGGTCTGCTTTATTACCAATAAAGTTTTTATTGCGGCAAAAGTGACCATTGCGGCAAAAGTGACCTAAAGAGCGGTTTGCACGAAATTGGTGAAGGCCAGAACATTTTAGAACCGCTGGTATATTTTTTGATCGCGGTGGTGCTGGGGAGGTTTTTCGGGAGATTTACGGTTGTGTCCGCACATTCAAGTGTTTTGCTTGAAATTCGGTTGTCTTCTATGCAAATCGGAGTGTTGGCACGTGTGCGAATACATGCATGCACTTGGGTTACCGCGCCTGCGCGTGATTGCATTGTCTTCCGCGACCGCGCGGGCCGCACCTGTTCGCATCAAACTTAATCAAACTTGTGCTGCCTGGAGCCCCCACCAAAAGGATTTAATAGATAAACTGGAACGAATTCAGAGACTTTCCGCGCGATTTATATGTTCGAAGTATAAAAGGACTGATCCGGTTACCGAGATGTTAAAACTAAGTGGTTCGGAATCTCTAGAAATTAGACGACAAAAGCAGCGCCTAAAGGTATTTTTTCAGATATTGCATAGTCAAATAAAAATAGATAGAACAATTTACGTACACCCCCGCATAAGCTCAGCAGCCGGATCAATCATGACGCGGCAGTTCGCCCCTTCGGTGCTCGCACGGACGTCTTTCGCAAATCTTTTTTCCCTGATGTTATAGAAGCGTGGAATAAATTGCCGCGACATATTGTTGAAAATTCTGACGTTAAAAAATTTGAATGTGCTCTTGATGTTTACTTTGCCGAGCAATGAATATGCTATTGTGTTATTGTTCAAAGTTGCTGAAAATATCAATGTCTGTATTTACTTTCCATATCCTATGCTTCCCTCCCTGTAATGACCCTTAAGTGAGGGTTGACAGTATAAATAAATAAATAAATAAATAATAAAAATGGGGTGAAAATCGATTCGCAACCACTACACTTTATTACATAGCCGGATAACTGGCCTTGGCCGGGACCACAGAAAAATTCTCATCACCCCGAAATTCATACGCGCCGTGATCGTACGACCGAGGTTCCACTAGCTGTATATTGAATCACCACAACGTTTCCGATTTCACCATATGGGAAGCCAGCACTGCTCAGATGGCGCGCCTAAAATTTAGGCGATGCGGCGCCCTAGCGAACCGGCTGAGAACCAGCTGGTAGGACAGAGCCGCCACGAAGTGAACTACGGGTACGTCACGCGCTGACACGCATCGTGAACGTCATGCGACACTGCCACTGTATTTGTCCGATGTGTGTCGTGTTGTAGGTACTTTGGAACGAGTCACACCAGGGAAGACTTGGACAAGAAATTAGCTGAAATTCGCAACGCAGCGGGCGAGCAGTGATTCCAGCGATTATTCTCCGCTATGGTTTCAGCGATGTGGTGCATGTGCGTGGTCAGATACCTTCGCGAGACTGTGTGGTTAAAACGACGGACACTGTCCGACGTAAAGTATGTCTATGACGCGGAAGAAACAGTGTGACCTTTCGACGTAGTGCCTAGCATTGTACGGCGTAAACATACAGGTAAATGTGTTCAGTTAGCGCTTGCGAAGTTTGACTAGTGCCCAGGTTGCTAGTTATCCGCCCGTTTTGAAGTAGATTTAGTGGTTTCTCAGGCAGCACTGATGTGGCATTCGGCACAGTGACAGTGCTGCGAGAGCATATCATTTGAGTAGTTGGTAGTCGTAGCTTTTGCGCTATATATTACAGAAGCTTTTAAGTGCGAATGCACTTTATAAGCCGCCGTCCGCGAATGCGCTTTATAATAGCCGCCGTCCACCGATTGCACTTTATAATTTGCCGTCCGCGGTGCGGTTCCTCCTCTCCTTTAGCAACGGCGGGAGGAACAGAGAGGAGCGTCTGTAGCAACGGCACAGCGACGTCACATAAGGCACTGCGCCGTGTCGCCTGTAGGCAGACAGAAATTAGGTGCCTTCTTCCTTTTCCTCATGAACCACTAACAACAACACCACGTGATTGCGCGCGCCGCGCCGGTTGAAGACAAGGCAGCGCAGCGAAGGGCCCGTGATGCCGAGCGCAAGCGGGCGAAGCGGGCCGCGGATCCCGAACTCTGCGCGCGGGAGGCCGATGGGCGACGTAAACGGCGCATCGCCTGCGGTGATGAAGGCCGACGGCGAGACGCCCAACGAAAGCGAATGAAACGAGCCGACCCCCCCCCCCCCCCCCCGAAGCCGATCTGGCGGGGGGGGGGGGGTCGGCCCAAACTCCATAAGCGCGAAAATGCACGCCACAGCGACGAGCGACGCGACGTAGATCGTCTTCGCGCGATCAGTCGCTAGCGCAGGCAAACCTCATTCACGCGACGGCTTCAGCGAGCGAATTCCACTGTTGCTGGCATGAGGCCGTCAACTCGCACCAAGAAAACCGCGTAGCGAGCGGTTTCCAATTTAAAAATAAGATATATTGTTGTGTAATGGAACGGAAAGTGTTTATTATTGCCTTGCAGCATTTTTTATATGCGCACGCGTAATAAACATTGCATTATTTCTTGTTGCGCATACGTGACTCGGGCAGGGTCACGTGCACCTATGTAGTCTTTGTCTTTTCCGGTATTTCGCTATTGGCTGCTTGAGCCCAGCACTTCCGGGCGATGAGCGACGGTTTCCAAATCTGGAGAACCGAGCGATCGCGCGAAAACGAGCACGCGACACGTCGCGCGAACGCCCTGTTTCGTCGCTCGTCGCTGTCGCGTGCATTTTCGCGCTTATGGAGTTTGGGCTATAGCTCGTCCAGACGCGCGCTTCAAGCGCGACTTTGTGGGTCTCAGCTTCGGTCACAGCTGCGCCGTGTGCGACCGGCTGTGGTTTGATAACAACCTGAGTTGCATTTCCGGCGTGAGGAACGAAACCAACAGGTTGAACGCGTTGCGGGTTCTTTGGAACGAGTTCGGAAGACGGTCGGGCGAACACCGATGCGACGACATGGATGCGCAAGACCCGCGGCTGGCTCCCTTCGGTGCGTTCCGGGTGTGTGCCTCGTGCCGAGAGCCCCTGCTGGCCGGGCGGGTTCCGCCGTTGAGCAAGAGCCACGGCTACGCCTACCCGCCTCGTCCCGCGAACCTCCCCGATCTGAACCCGGTGGAAGAGCGCCTCATCTCGCCTCGACTCCCCTTCATGAGCATCAGGCGGCTGACGCGGGGCAATGGTCAGTACGGCATTAAGGGACAGATCGTGAACGATGTTCCGAGCGTAATAAAAAAAACAACACAAACATCATTATAGTGCGAATTTACTCTCACATATGCGCGTAAACTCACCAAGATTTCCCGAGAGGCTCTAATGGTTCCTGGGAATCGCAATGTGATCACACCGGGGAGTTTACCTTAACTCGCTGGCGAATGCCAACGGATTTACTCCCCCTCATAGCATCACCCCGTGCATTCGCACTTAACCATGTTCCCCCTCGGGGAAATGCTTGGAGTTTTTCGGCTACGCGTTTCCTTTTACTGTGTGTTTGACGGATAGCGTGAACCCACAAAATGCTCGTATCACAATCTGATTATATTTGTTAACTATCTTCTGTTCTTAGAAGGATTGCTATGTTTTCTTGTACTTCTTTTTTCACTCCTGTAATAGCCCTGTGTAGGGGCTGACAGTATCCGTAAATAAATAAATAAATAAATAAAAAGTTTTTGAAGCTGACGTTGAATCGTGAAATGAATATCTAAGGCAACCTTCATACGAAAGGCCAGTGTAAAGCGAATATTGGCGGTGTTACCGGAAATGCAAACGTGTTGCAGCGGTCGTGCTTTAACGAAGTCGACTCGCCGTCGTCTGCAAACCGGTCACAAGCTTGCGGCCGGCTGCCGTCTAAGTCTAATATTTAAAAAAAAAAATGCCTTTGGACAATCTAGTCGTAATTGACCTAGTGGTAGTTCCGCAGTCGACATGCGGTGCGCGGTCAGTAATGAGATGCGGAGATCATCACCGTTTTTTTACTGGGAGTCATCGTCTTGTATTCTGCCTGGAAGCTCTGCACGTTACATAATACCGCATTTACTCGAATGTGACGAGAGGTTCTTTTTTTTTATTTCAGATTTTTGCAACTAAAGTCGACCCTTGATTACAGTACCGAAATTCTTTTTTTTTTCTTCCCTCGCGTTACAATCGTGGTCGTGTTATAATCGAATAAGTACGCTGTGTGCAATGTATAAGGTGCAATGCTTATGCCACCCAAGTTTCCGTGTGCTTTCTCGAACATTTTCAAGGCAAGTTTTAATTGAGAAATCGTGGTGCGTTGGTTGAAATAGATGCCGGGAAAGCCAACTATGCATGCTCTGGATTATTTTTTTTCTGTAAATAAAAGCTTTTTGTGGTTGTGGCATTCGTGAATACAACAATAAAGCCGGTCTCGAAGCTTCTTTTTCCTCGTGCGATCATCGCGCACGGCGGCATGGTTCACGTTAGTCCAAGATTTAAGAATAATGTAGCCGCTGGAGCATAGGCGTGCGCATTATTGGAGGGTAGGGGGGCTCCCCCCCCCCTTTTTTTTTTTTGCAAACTAGGCTTGACGAGTAGTGGATGGCGCACAAGGGGGCGCCAAGTCTGCACCATGTCTCATTATTGCTTAAAGGGCAAGAAGTCTGGTCATGCGAGTTTTTGGTGATAATGATGGCTAAGAAACTCTAATTCTGAGAATGTTCACTTCACACTGTTATCCCAGGAAAGCCGGGAAACAGAAACAGACCGCTGTAAGAGGTATATGCCAAGGTTCTTATATTTCTTGGGATACTTCAACGCAACAATTTCGCTCCGTTTGTAGAATTGTCTGTCGAATTGTATGTTTGTCACTCAAAGGAGCTTGTGTCTTTGCTTTTTATTCTGTTTGCATTATTTCCAAAATCCAACGACATCAGCGGCACCCGCCAATACTTCTCTTGTTTTTACGTTCTTTCTTGTGCGTAGTATCGATTAAAAAGCGAATTTCGCGCATATCTGAGGCAGAGCATCAAAACGTCGATATACTGTGGCGTATTCATTATACGAGAAAAGTCATACATAAGTAATTCTGAGGAACGTATTGTTTATTACGCTATAGGCTGACAACGCAACGCTATGCACGAAAAGGCGGGTGTTTCCTAAGCTTTGCTAAGACGACCCGGTGGTGGCACCTACCCTCTGCGCGCATCGAGGCACTTTAACGCAGCGCCTCCAGAATTCTGTTCACCAACTTTCTTGCGCAGAACATCAAATAAATTTTTTATTCACTCTTTCCAGACGGAATACTACCGCCATTCGACGACATTTGCCGTGAAACATGCAGATATTTATTTGTGACTCTACCCCTGTTTAACGAAGAACCGAGCACGCTCTAATGCACTGGAGTACACCACAAGCCAACGCGAAAACAATGAGTACGATCCATAGATGACCAGAGAGCATCGACCTCCCAAAAGTAGCGGCACAATCAAAGACAACGCTTCTTCGAAAGAACGCTTCAATTCAGCTCCGCGGGAACGCGCGCTTGCGAAACAACGAATTATAGGCGAGCGTTCCGAGTATATGTCCGACGATGTTATCGAGCTGGTGAGGCGGGATAAGGCGCACCGGAGACGGCGTCGTCCAGGTCCGCCTTTCCGAAGAACACCTTGCCGCCGTCCAGCGTGCACGTGTGGAACTGCACCCGGAAGATGGGCGTCCGACCAGCGGGCCGCTGCTTCTTGTGGTAGCACTTGATGAGCACGTCTCCGCGGAGGGCTTGGCTCGCTTCCAGTGGCACCACCAGCCGCCGGGAACCGTCCGTGGCCACGCTGCACGCATCAGATAGATTGCATGCAGTCATATGGCATGCTTAATATTATTATCTCGGTGGATAATAATACTACTAATAACTGTAGTGGAGGGCTCTGGAAAGTTCAATCATCTGGTGTTCTTTAACGCGTTCTTACACCGCCTCCATCAAAATGCGACTGCCGCAGCCGAGATCGAAACCGCGACCATAAGGTGGGCAGCAGAGCATTCTATACACCTTTTCACAGGAAGGAGAAAAACACCGCCATGATGGGCTGTGCACGGGAATACAAACGCTAAGGGCGCAGCGTTGTCAGTGCATTTTCGTGGGGACGCGCCAATTTGCACAGCCCAAGGAGGGCTATGGCGGCACCAAACTCTCCTTACATACATTTAATTAAAAAAAAGAGGGCTATGGCGGCGCCCAGGGAGGCGTTTATGAAAAGGTCAATAGCCACTGTTCCACCTAAGTAGTCCACACGTCAAGCTTGGCAAGCACACCAAGAGCTAATACTACACATATCCGGCTACATCAATGTGATATCGGTTAATTTGTGGGAGAGGGGATCAAGGTATGAATAGAGAGTAAAGCCGTCAACTAGGATTGTTGGTATGGTTCCATTATGGTTAAGGCTGCGCAAGCAACAGAGACGAATAAATAGCTTGTTGTGTATCTTTCTTTGTACGTGTTTTTTCGTGCTGCTTTAACCGTAATGTATATACGAATAGGTTCTTGCAGCAACAGAAAGCGAAGTGACGAATGTGGATTACTAGTGAAGATCACAACGCTGAGCAAAACGTGACCGAACATACCATGGCATACATTTACTAGGGCACTTTTAGCCTTTGAAATCGATAAAGTAACAGCAAGACTAGTGACATCAGAAATTACTGGATTACACTTAGTATGCGCAGTAAGATGAGAATATCATAATGAACGTTTCTACAGAAGTGTTGCGCTCACAAGGGTATAATGAAAACAGCTTGCCATCGTTTAGTGAATGTAGCGGACGAATTTCTGTATAGCAATGACTTGTGAGCGTGCAAGCGATCGCACAGTGTTCTGCGCACCTTCCTCAAGCGTTCTTTGACAGCCGCTGTGTTACCTTAATTGCGACGTTAAACGCAGTGATTCAATCAACTTCGGAACATAATGTTGATCGCGCAGAAAACACAACAATGGTTGACGAGGCCCAATTGCCAGTGGTATTACGCGAACAACAACAAACACTTCTCTTTCTCACACATTAGGTCCGCTGTAAATAAGTAACTGTAACAAAATTGTATAAAAATACATAAGGGCTAATCTACACCTCTTGTCTATAGCAAGAAAAAGACAGAAAGGCGAAGTAAAACACTATAGCTTAGATATAGTGATAAAGGTGGCTGTCTCAATTCAGTGCTTAATCAGTAGCTCAACGTTGTGCACGTCACATGACAAACGAATTTTTCAGTTTTTATCCAACCGGAAATGGTTGCATTTGATGAATCCTTAATTAGCCCGCTTTTTCGTAGAAAAACACAAAAGCACATCTAATTGTGCAGCTACACACTTACGATGAAGCATGCTAGCACGCTTGCATACTTTTTTATAAAACAAAAAATAAATGAGCATTCATATTTTCTTGTCCTCAATACCAGCACTGGCCGTCGGCATTTGAAAGTGCGGCCTCACTAGGTTGACGACAAAGATTGTCGAAGATTACGGCCTTACGATGCGATTGCGAACCGTCTGCGCAGTGAGAGACTGGAATTATCGTGGGAGACGTGACCTCAGAATGAAGGCGAGTAAGCTTCCGCGAGCTTCGTATAATTACTTCGAAGTTTAGAAACACAGGTTAAGAAAAAGATAAAAGCTAACAAATTAGGACAGGGCATAAACTAAAGGTGACTCACTGTACGCCCGACGTGTACACCGGCTGCATGCCTTGGTAGATCTTGAAAAACGGCCGACAACCTGGAGATGACCAATGAGAAACATAAAAATAGAAAAAAGACAAAAAGCTTAGACCTGTTTCGGGAACAAATATCTTGCCCATTGAAGAAAAAAAAAAAAAAACTCGCACCTCCTCTGTTGTCGAAGTTTGGAATCCCGTGAAGGATGACATGATGCAGGTACAGAGCATTGTTGTTCATCTTAATGTTGCCGGACAGAAGCTCCGTGAAGTAGTGGACATACCTGAAACGGGACGAGCACGTGGTCATGGTTCTAGACGAAACGTTTCACATTTTCAGCGGTGCTTGCGGGCTAAGCGGCTTGAAAAAGATAGAAACCGACAAAACCAACATAATTCACATTGCCACAGTAACTGTCCACGAATTCTCTCTCTCTCTATTTTTTTAACGGGCGCTTCCTTCTGGCATGACAGGACGTTCAGCATGTGAAAGCAAAAATATTACTTAATATATAAATTTATAATACGAAAACGAGATAACAAGCCATCTTGCACGTGAGTGACAAACCAAGAACAGTTCGCAATCCGTAACAATATTATATCATATCGTGATATCGCACTGGTGAGCTATAATATCGTGAAGATAATTATCAGAAATAGCTAAAACTGGTATTTCTAACTTACAACCGAACGGAATGTGCAACACAAGCCAAAGGAGTTCAGTTCCAAAGCGAAAGAGGCAAAAAAAAAAAAAGATAACTTTACCTTTTCTGCGAAGGATGCATCGAAGAGTACAGCTTGTCCTCGTAGTACCTTCGCATTGTTAACCGGTCGAGTGCTTGATTGTCGCTGCAAGGCGGAAAGAGCAACACATGTTTCCTCGCGCATGTTTTCGAGGAAACACGCAGAGACACTAATGTTCACATTATTCGGCTTGCGCCGCCAGGCATACAAGGGCGTCTAACCTGGCGCATATGCTGGTGTAGTGCAGGTACGCAGCCAGTACGACGCCGACGCGGCCCTTGTCACCCTGCGAAGAGGTCGGTGTGAGCGCCATCGTTAGCTCGCGCCCTCCTTTCGCTTTCTTCCATCCACAGCAGCTCAGAGCGCTGGCTGCTCGGAATAATATGCAACCTCAAACTTTTTTTCTTAAGAAAAACTGAAAGAACGGCATTGATGCAGGTAAATAAAAAAGCACGAATAATGAACAACAATGACAATCTTTGTTTAGAAGAATCGAGCGTTGGGCGAGTTGATATTCTATTGTGGATGGCGTTTTGCACAAAATGTCTGTGCTCTCCTCCCTCTTGTGCGCCTTTTTCTTTGCGCAACATGTCATCCACAATATCACCCTTTCGCCGCCTTGCGGGTTTCCACAGAACTCACTTGCAATACTTGTGCCCACGTGCTTCGAGTTGTCCATGAATTTGCCCTCGCACTGTCAGTCGCTAGCTTCCTGGTTAGCTCAATCGGCAGAACGACCACCCCGGAAAGGCGTTGGTCCAGGGTTCGAGCCCCGCACGTGGACGAATTTTTCGGCAACTAACAAGCTTTTCTTTCTGAGAAATCCATAAGGATTTCCTTATAATGTCATGCTACAAACTAACGGTTGTCTTCTTTCCCTTTCTTAACCATCCCGCCATGTGGCGGGTTTCCAAAGAACTCATTTGCAACAATGAAGCATATTGCGTCCATGCTTGAATATCTCTAGCGTCGACTGCACTCAAGAACACAATGGACTGGAATGAGGAACCACACACAATGCAACTCACGCAACGCTTATGCCGCCAATCAGTCGCTCATTCAGCACAGACAAAGTAGGCTAAAACACACTGACTCATTTCAAGCTCCGTGCAGTTCAATAAATCAACTATACTATCTCTAAAGAACTGTAGGGACAATAACCGCAGTCGCACAATGATGTAGAACATATTAAATTACATTTGCGTCCATTTTTTCTCTCTTTGTTTCTTGGTATTCTAGTCACTCAATTTCTACAAAATACTGCATCATTATTGTTGATTTTTCTCTTTGTTGACTATATTTGTTCTCAATATACTTTTTGCAACTTAAGACCGTGCGCTTGGGGAGCGTAGCGCCGTTTTTTTTGTTGCATGATCATGGCCGAATGGTGCATAAGGTACTCGCCTTGGAGTGAAGGATCGCGACGTTCTGCGAATCGGCGTGGAACCATGAGTCCAGGCTCTTGCAGATGGTGCAGAGCCTCTCGAGAGGCGGTGAGAGATGTGCAGGCCATCCGAACTCCGCAATCTGCGAGTTGAAGCATGCTGGCGAATTATTACTGAAGTTTATTACAATCATGTGGACTTTCGGGGATCGCCTGGAAAAGTGACTGTCCGCTGCGCCCTGCATGTTTCTTGTTTTTTTTTTTTTTGACGTGTTATATTGGAACACGTATCAAGTCTGTCCACTGATCGAAGCATGCAGGCGAAGAGAAATGAAATGACGACGTGTTTTGACGCGATAGCGGTAAAGAGCTCGTTTCACAGAAATACTGGCGTCGGCGTCCGTGTCGGCATCGTTGGTTGTGAGCGAGAAGTCATCGTCTTTGCGTGACCGAAAAATCGAGCATCTTTGCATGACCAAAAAAATTAGAAAGAAGCTAATAAAGTAAATTGAAATTCTGCGTCTCAGTGAAAATCGAAACACGGGTCGTTTACGTGACAAGCGGTTATTCTACGACACATCCACGCCTCTTTTTTTTTTAATCTTGCACAGTATTTAATACATATGCGGTTTATGTATATACATAGCGTGCTTACTAATACAGTGAAAATAACTTCCTCTGCTTTGAAATGCAGTGAAAGTAGCTTTCACGCTTTAAAACCACACATGTCCTGTATACGTGCTTCGCAATACAACATTAAATATTGCCGTAATAGTGCGTGGAACAAGCGTATATTGTCATCGAGTGTCAGAGCATGAGATTATAACAACTTCATTGTTTAAAGTCAGTCACCCACTACAAAAAGCACACAAGTTACTGCATCCTTAAGGCCATGTAGTGGGTGCATAGCTAGTTCCAAATGATTTCATACACTAAGTGTTTGAAGTACGCACAAGGAACAGAACATCGCTATCACGTTCAACTCTTAAAGCCGAAGCTTAAAGGTCCCCCGAAATCTTTATCGTGTTAAACCCCAGCACATGAGGCCGAATGAGTGAACTTGCGCGAAAGGCTGTGATGACGGTCAAACAAGTGTGCCACATTCGGGCACTGGTCACTGTATTATGAGAACTAACGACACAGTACATAATTCAAGGAAAAAGAAAGATTGTCCTTGAAAACATTGGTTACTTTCCATGCGCACCGCATTAGATCTCATGCTTTTCTCTTATACGAAATTGTTGTTATGCGCATAATTTTTTATTATTATCAAGATCCACTAAAATGAAGGCAGCCGATATAGTGCTGCACTAATATCGATTTACACTAAATCGATCACTAATATCGATCACACTATATATATATATATATATATATACATGTGCCCGCATAATGACCTGTAGTAAAATAAATAAATAATTCAATGATTACTAGCGCATGTGTACTTTCTTTGAAGGTTATTCATTTGTCCTTACCTGGCTGTTGAGCCTGGCGAGGTCGTGTCGTTTTTCGGAAAGATTGAACACCTGTAGAAATAAAGAATAAATGTGAATGAGCCCTTGAAGCAAATAAAGCAATGCGAAGCTGAGTTTTTTGCTAGAATAGGATGAAATACAAACCTACGAGCGATGAAGTGATTGATAGTTTGATACCGGGCCGAAGCCAATGAGAGGTGCCCTACTACCCCCCCCCCCCCCCCCTCTTCGCTTTCGAAAGTCGGATGGAGAAGTTGTTTTACCAACGACAAATGATATAAATATGTTTTTCAGGGCCTCCAACACGTGGGCCACCAGTCCGAAAAAAAAATTCCTGGCTAGGGGTTTGTTTTACAGACCGATAGTTATTGTATTAGCTACAATATTGGAAAGTAGGCAGGAACTACAGAAATCGATGTAACCACTCGCATATCTTTGCGCCCCCCCCCACCCCCTGCATCTATTCCTATCTCGTTCCAGCTAAAGTAAGTCATGAGTCCATAAAATCAAAGTTAACTGTTTGCTATACCTGTCACACTGCTCGCAAGGACGGTCGCTACTATGATCGTCACGCTGCATTCGTGCTTCTTGAATGCGCTAGGATGCACACACCTGCCGCTTGAGCAAGGTCTATTACAAATCCGGGGCGCTATAGATTGAAAGAGGAGCTTGTTTACCGTGTACTTGTTGCCATGCTTCGTCCTTAGCATTCGGGTCACCTCCTTCAGGTTACTGCGATAGGTGGTGTCCAATCCACCTTCGGGGAAAGTGACAACTGCAAAGTGACAGCGAATTAAATTATGTTAGTTAGCACCATCCAACCCATGTATCCACAAAGTAATAGCATTGTGCATGGTTATCACAAATTTTAGTTGCTGTAGAGAAAATTGTTTTTCGAATTTTCAACTGTTTCTTCTGGGTGAACTCGATCGGCAAACAAGTTTTCTTTCTTCGCAAGGGTTTAAAACATTGAACAAAAATAAAAACAAATAACAAAGCTTCCCAACATGCACATCTCTACTTGCAAATGGACCATTCTTTTTGAAATCATTGTCAGATAAACGGTATGAAAAAAAAATATCCGCGGGTAAAGGGAGAAAATAACAGCACAAGCAAGTCGCCGAACTGTCTTTTTTTTTTTTCGGTGAGCGGGAAATCTGTGCTGGCGCGCGCAGGTGCTAGTGTGCGTGAAATAATGGGTGTGGCAACAGCGTAAGCTGGGAGCGCCATTGCTTAAAAAAATTCGGCACAACGTCTCCTTGACGTAACAAGGGTTCACAACGTTAGCCTAAATTGCGGTAGTTTGCTACAAAAAAAAAAAACGTGCATGTCAACAGTAAGCAAGCAATTATTATTCACCTTTCTCGCCACTAAAGAGAGCTTAGATAAACAGCAATGCGATATTAGCGATGTCGCACCGATCTGATAGCCACCAATAGTGCGAGAAATATTATCATTTTCGCTAATTGTAATGAATATTGCTGTACACTTTTTAAAGTATATGTAAGGAGTTTTCGAAGAAGGATGCCAAATAACAGTGTTTTAGTCCTTGTAATCAGCATTCCTTAAGCTTCCCTTACAAGTCATACACGAATAAATAACCTAGTATGCATTGCAGAAGTATTTAATGGCCCTAGGGAGAAGGGGGCATAGCAACGCCCGGCATCCAAAGACGTACCGATAATCTTCTCCGTTACGTATGTCACATCCATGGCGAAACTAAGTTGTCGTTCGAGGCTTCTGCGTGGATAAAAAAACAAAACAGTATTTCAGGCCTGAGAAAACTTTCCAAGATTGCAAAGGCAAGTCAGAAGCGCGCCATAATTACCTCGGACTTCTCGTTCGTTCAAGTGATCGGGATCCAGGACTCTTCTGTCATGAAAAAAAAAAAGGACATTAGAAAGATTTAGGCGTTCAGATGGGCGAAGACGATAGCTTCGCCCTATACAGGTGGCGTCGCAGACGAAATGTTAAGCTGACAATAAGGATAACTGCAGCGGCGGGCGTCAGTGCCCTCCTAAAGAATCTCTTTTAAAGTCGCCGACGTGGGTCGGGTACAGGCCAATATGAGCGGCGGCGTTTGATCCCAGGCAGCAGTTGAAGAAAAAAAAAAAAGGTTCAAAGTTTCGGGAATTTTCTCCGCAGCTAAACACCCTAGCTGTGGCATGAAGATCTCCAGAAAATGACGAAAATAAAAGAAATATACAAGTTCGATCAGCGTTATCTTAACGACCACGCTAGAGAAATATATCAAGGCACGCAATTTATATCAGACAAAACACGGGAAAGCGGGATGCCACAATAGGTCGGAACCTATAGTTATCGTACTCTTGAGGTTCATACTCTTGTGAGGGAAAAATAACGTGATCCCCGAATCATGACGGCATTCATAAGCGAGTTATAGATATATGTTCAGAGGACGTTAAAAACATAGTATATTCAGAAACGGCCGAACATTGAACGGCAATATCACAATATATAAACATTTATATTTCGTCGTCATAAACATTACTTTTTCTTCTCTAGTCTCTGTGATCAAAACAAAACGATCTGCTTTTTTTTTGTCCTTACAGTACCCGCAAAATAATTTCAGAAGGCCACATAAAAAGTACAATTGACAGTTTTCTTATTACCCCGCCGTGGTGGTCTAGTGGCTAAGGTACTCGGCTGCTGACCCGCAGGTCGCGGGATCGCATCCCGGCTGAGGCGGCTGCATTTCCGATAGAGGCGGGAATGTTGTAGGCCCGTGTGCTCAGATTTGGGTGCTCGTTAAAGAACCCCAGGTGGTCGAAATTTTCGGAGCCCTCCATTACGGCATCTCTCATAATCATATGGTGGTTTTGGGATGTTAAACCCCCCATATCAATCAATCAGTTATCTTATTCTTTGCAAACAGGTGATTCACACTGATAATGCCACGTTTGTCACCAATGCAGCAACGTTCCAGTATTTCAACGTAGTGTCCATTTAGTTGACGAAGCTTCTGTGGAGCGCTGCGGAAAGGATCGAAGAACGGTTGATAACGAAGACTGCAACGTTTTCTTTTTTTTTTTTTTTTGCGGTAGTAAAGCCTATTACGTGTTCCTTTTCCGAGACGTCGAACTGTTTTTTTTTATTTCCAAATACGTGACATTCAATGAAAAAATTAAAACTTCTGCAGGAAGGTTATTTATAATTCTGCGCATTTCCCGCCAGAGCAACACGTTCACCTCTATTTCCGAATAATGAAGCCAAGTGGAACCTTCTCCTTTCGCTTCACCGATTATCAGTTTCTATCTAGCTATCAGCCGCTGTCATGAGTACTCAAATAATTTTTGAACTTTCTTTTTCGCTTTACCCATGTCGATTTTCTCCCAAAACAACACCTTAATTCCGCGGATCAACATAAGCGCAAGTTTCACAACGGGAAATCGCATACGTAATTCAATCAAACGGCTTTCATCGTAGACAGCCTCGTGCGCCAGGCTTGTCCGTATTTATCACCACTTGGCCTTCACATGTATCTCCGCAGATATCGAATGCCTCCTCCATGCCACACCAAACATACATGCATTAAAATTAGGAAGCGATCTTCAGACCTCAGGGATAAACTGTGGTACCAGCATGCACTTTCAGATGGAGCGCCACTGTTCGTTTTCTCTTTTACAGCGAAAGCTGTTATGACATCACAACACAGGTCACGCGTAGTTTTACGCCGCCGCCGGTGACCGCAATCACATCGCGCGAAATTCAGAAAAAAAAAGAAAGAACTAGCACCACAGCGACTAAGTCGGGCTCGAACCCGGGTTCACTGGGTGCAAGCCAATTTTCCTACCACTCAGACTGAGCTATGCCAGTGCTTGGGACTTGTTAGCAAGTTTGCCTTAGACAGGCTTGATGTCGGGAAAGCAATTGCGTCAATACGACATATATACCATTTTAAAAAAGCGATAGAACGACCAGTTGTCGCATCATGCGAATAGCATAACGAGTGGGCCATTCAAAGCTCCAATCCATTACAAAAGCTTGTTCTGGTTCACCTATTAACTGTGTCACATACCCACTTCAGCCATGATTCATCATCGTCTTCAGCCACTGCATGAACAACTGGCACAAAATTCCTAGCAAGTGTTTAGCGGATACCACGCTTGTCAGAAGAATGACGATAAATAGCATAGCGAATGCCAGCCTAGTGTCCAATAAATTACATCATTTACGTCGTAGTGGGTATCAAGCAAGAGTGCTTGCAGTGGTTACCCAATGAGTGTTTAGAAAAGACTCTGAAAGGCCACTCTTTTAGCTTTCGCTGTGACTGTGTTGCTGCACCTTCCGCGCAGGCCTGGCGTTTTAGAAGCGAAACTCCTTATAGCGATACCTGTTCGTCCCTCGTGGCCGTTGTAGTATGTAACAAGTATAACATTTTTACCTTCAAGGTGGTGCCTGTGAGCAATTTCCTCTGTGCGTTGTTGAACAATAAAATATAGTGCTCAATGTACCTGCCAATGACTGATAAGGAGGAATTAGAGACAGAAGCATTCGGCTTTTAGTTAACGCTCACGCTGCGATCCCCATTAGCAGCCATTGGCATGTAAATTGAGCACTATCTGACAAGAAAGGGTTGCTACGTTATACTCGCTGGGCGTAATCTCCTTAGTTTTAGAAAGGTTTAGCGAGCGTTGAGCCGCAGAGCCATGAATACAATGAACTAGTATATACCATGAATGAACTCGAAGTGGTTAAAGGTGGGAAGTATATACAAAGCGCAAGCCGTAACAAAAGTAAAAGCCGAATTCTCCTGTCTCTCATTTCCCATTAGCAGCCATTGGCATGTACATTGAGCACTATCTGACAGGAAATGGTTGCTACGTTATACTCGCTGGGCGTAAGCTCCTTGTTTTAGAAAGGTTTAGCGAGCGTTGGGCCGCAGTGCCATGAATACAGTGAACTAGTATATACCACGAACTCGAGGTGGTTAAAGGTGGGAAGTAGACCCGAAGCGCAAGCCGATAAAAAGTGTGCGTGTGCCACCTCTCGTTTAGTCCTTGGAATGTCCGCTGGGTGGCGGTGCTCCTACATGAGGAATATATGACGAAAAGATGCGAAAGGGTGGTATTTGGAGTGTTGAATAGACGGACAAACGGACACACAGACAGATGCATGGATGGACGCATGAACGGACGCAGGGGCGGATGCATGGACGAACGCAGGGGCGGACGCACAAACAGACGCACGCACGGACGGGCGGATGGACGCACGGATGGTCACACAGACGGACGCATGGACGGACGGAAGCAAGAACGAATGGCCGGACGAATGCTTCGCCCCACTCTCCATCATTCACTCCGTGGATATGCTGCCATTTTTTTCTTCTCTTTATCCGTCTTTCCCATTTCCCCAGTGCAGATTAGAAAACCAAATGCACGCCTGTCGACCTCCCTGCCTTCCCTCTCTCTCACGAAACAAGACACTGCACTGCGTGTGCGAAACTCACCGATCTCCTGGAATGTCGGAGTTCTCTGCTTTCACTGCGATTCTGAAACGATAAAGAGGACGAAGATTAAGTTCACAATTTGTTTCGTCAATGCGTTTGCCGTACAAAACGAACTTGCCTTCGGGTTCACTGAAAGCGAAATTTCTCAACAAGGTTGCTTCACGTACTTTTTGAGTGCTTTTTCGCGTACTTTTTCTAAACAAACAACGAGCTGCATAGGCACCAACCTTTCCTTACATACATTTAATAATAAAAAAAAAACGAGCCTGTGGTGCAATTGATCAAGCCTTATTTTCTTGGGACCGCTTTCAGCTCTCCTATTGTAAAGTACTGAGTACTCTAAATCGTTAACCACTTTTTTCCAAACACACGACCCTGCGTTTTTATAGTACGTTGTACTCTGAATCGATAACAACTTTCTCTACACACAACCCAGTACATAGATGTACCGAAGTGTATGTGCTCTTATAGCTGGAATGTTATGAAACCTCTGTTTTCTGTTCCACTGCCACGCCTCTAGCCTGGCCGTGCATGTCTGTACACACTGTAAGTAAACTTTTTTTCAAAATAGAGCTCATTGTTTCATCACCTCAATTGAGCACTATAGTCAAGAACGTGTCTAAATTCCCTCGCTTAATGTATTTTGGGCGATACAGTTGCATTATATAGAGCGGTGACACGCGCTGCAATATGTTGTGAAAGCACGTATATATGAACACGCTGAACTGGCCACACCACGCAAAACGCGGCAGCACAACATGCGTGCGCATGTCTCGGTCCACCGGTATATGACACAAATGGCGGCGGGTGAAAACTGCTCCGCTTACTATATCACCACGCTGTACAAGGAAACGCTCCATGGCATCGAAGCACTTTATTCACGGTTCACGCTGCACGAGCTCCTGGAGAAAAAAAGTTCATTAAAGCGAAAGCTGTTATGATATCACTTTTCGGTTCACGCGCAGTTGCATGTTGCCCGCCGCCGCCGCCGCCGGTGTCCGTAACAACATGCGGCGGAATCAGAAAAAAAAAACCTTGGACCAATGGCACAGTGGGGATGAAACCAGGGTCCGCTGGGTGCCAGCCCAGTATTCTTCCACTGAGCTACACCGGGGCTAGATAGCTGTTGTCAAACTTGCCTTAGGCAGGCTTAATGTCGGGAAAGCAATCGCGTTAAAACGGCCTATAAGGCATTTTACAAAATCGAAAGAACTACCAGTCGTCGCACAATGCGAATAGCTTATGGCTAAGTGGGTCGTTCAATGCTCCAACCCTTTATAAAGTCTTGTTCTTGTTTCCCTATTAAGTGTGGCGCATACCCACTTCAGCCTTAATTCCTCATCGTCATCAGCCACTGCATGAACAATTGGCACAAAATTCCTTGCAAGTGGTTAGCGGATACAACGCTTCTCAGAAGAATGACGAAAAATAGCATAGCGAATGCCGACCTACTACCCTAAAGCTTATTATTAATGCCCTGGAGGGTATCCAAGCAAGTATGCTTGCAGTAGTTACCCAATGAGTGTTTTGAAAAGGCTCTGAGAGGCCACTCTTCCAGCTTTCGCTGTGACTGTGCTGCGCCTACCGCGCAGGCCTGGTGTTTTTATTTCTTTTTTGCTAGCCTTGCGTAAGCTCAGTTTTGGTTAATGTAGCACCAGTGTGTAAATATCATTAGGGACACGACCTAAAAAGAAGAAAATAAAGGCAAGGGAATGATATTCACCACGAAGCCTACACAATACGGTTATTTACCTGTCATTTCCGTGCATGGCGCTGAAACAGCGAGAAGGGGGGCAACCGAGGCGTTGCGATGTGCTTACAATGTACGCGTGCTCAGAATTCAGCAAGCTTGGATCCAGAAGTCAGATAGGCCGTTCCGCGTTGTCACCGGCTTCCCAGTGTCCGCTGTACGCAAGTGTATTGCGAACGCAAGGCACGCGCAGTGGAGCCCGCGTCAAGCTTGTCTGTCGCAGATCTCCGACGACTGCTCTGAAGGAACGGCCGAGAGAACTCCTTGACGCAGACTTCCCCAGCCATTGCGTGATGGGCACAACGACCTTCCTTACCGCACATCTTCTTCCTGTCCTCTTACGAAAGCCAATTCATTGCAATCGGAGGGGTTTTATGGCGCGAATACGGCGGCTATAGGTATGAGCGATAGCGTTTACCTTTTTTTTTTTCCTCTGGGTGTACAAAACATTTCTTTGTCAAGGCCCTTGGACCTTCCTTACTTTTGTTTTGAGTAAGACAACCGAATGCCACTCGAAATGAAGGTCGCTGTCAACGCACTTAAGTCGACCCGACATCTCACTACGGTGCCGCTTTATCGAACCACTTGAAGATCGAGAGATCTACTCGGCCATCCATGATGCATGAACGAATAGCTTCCTCATTGGACATTCGTCTAATGGACGCTTGAATATTGAAGCCCATCGACTTTTATTCCTGCCGTAGCGTTATCTTCGCATCGCGGTGCTCTTTCCAAACGTGCATCCTTCAGAAAAGCGCCACGATGTGGTGATTCACACCACCCGTTGAAGAACAAAATAACGAAAAACTGAACGTTGCGATGACAAACTTCACACCGTTTAGTCAAGTTTGTTGGAACTTTGCCTACAGTACGCGAGTCCTACCACGCTATGCTATATATAGTTAACGGTTTACTGCTGCCGGAATATTTCTTTGAAGCCTCGCGTCTCTTCATCGATGGGCAGATTATTGTTTGACACCTTACTTTACACAAACGAAACTGCGCGTAACTGCAACATCTCTTCCGCAGCAGGCTTGCGAAAAAATGACATTGTAAAGCTTAGTGCTAACATGGCTAAGTGCAGTGTTTATTTTAAAACGTACAAGCGAACAGCGAGAACAAAGCGTGAAAAGGTGAATTCATACGCCAATCGATAAAAAATATTACTAATATGTTGCCTAGCGTTGAACAATTTAGGTAATATTTGTTTTTTAATTTATTTTTATTTATTCAGAAGTACATTACAGGCCTCCAAGGGGCATTGTGTAAAATGGTGGTCAGATACATAATTAAGAATAATGTAGGTTAATATAAACAAACAAGGCAAGTCAACAAAGGTAAAAACAAATTTAAGTAGCTTAATATCGGGAACGACGGCAGGTACAGCGAAATAGTAGGTGTAACTACAAAGCAGGTGGTATCAGACGTATAGATTAAAAGAGATTACAACTGAGCAAGCTTGAAACACAAAAAGTATAAATAGGACAGCGTATTAGGCACATAAATATATGTCTAATTACACATGTAGTAATGAACATGTGCTTCATTTTCGCAGCGCGCCGGCACGAGGAAACAGTAGCGGCTGCGTAGTTATAATTACAGGGTGAACTATAGAGTTGCCGCCTGTATGCGACAATCGCGCCAAGCAGGACCAAGCGCGTCGAAGAGGGCCGCGTTCCCAGCGTCAAACTGAGGCCGGCGACGGAGGGGGGCGGCCCCAGCGCTTCCTGTGGCGGCGGGGGCCTTTCTTTATGCAAGCCATGCATAGCGGAGTGGTTGCGAGGTTGAGCTATCTGCTCCCCCCTCCTTTTGTCGTCCATCCTAATTGAGCGCGTTCCATCGACCCCGTTTGGCCACCACTCTCCTCCGATGCCTCATCATTCCTGACCCTGTCATGCGGCGGTTGAGAGACAGGCCAGCCAGACCAGAGGTCCTTCCCGTGCGCAGACAAAGAGCCGCATACAAGCCGTAGCGAGGATATGTCGCTTTGAAATAGCTTCATCGGGCCTACACTTCGTAAAACACGCGCATATGCCGTTGCACATGTTCAGACGAGCGTTGTTCACTAAGATGCGAGTGGTGACGGATTTCGAAAACTCCGTGTGAGCTAAATCTCCTCTCTCGTACGCATTATTCATTGCAGTACAGTTCAAATTGAAGAGGCGGGGCTCTTCTCTCTCGAGCATCAGCGTCGGTTCATTTCTGGCAGGATGCTTGACTATACGTTTGTACCAACAACTTTTTTTTTTTGCTTTCTAGCTATGGCTATCGATTTAAAATTGCGGACACTGACAGAAGTTTAAGGTCATGAAATACGCAAATGTCTGCGAATTGGTTAGATAGAGAGAATAAAGTGACAGAAGAGGAACAGAGAGGGAATTTCATCTCGTACTCACATCATCACGCGCCGCTTTCCCTACTTGAAAAACCGGCGAGTGTGAGGCGGCTTGCTATGGTACCTCCAACACTAAATGAGCGAACTCTCTACCACTTGACCAGCGTAGAAAATCCCGCTTGAGCAGTTTTAAAGCGTTTCTTTGCCATTCGGCGGAGGCCGGAATGTTGCCATTTAGCCGATGACTTCGTCAGCATGTTTCCTGTATAGCCTGAGGCAGTTCACCAACCTACACGAACGCCTGCGACGTATACCGAACGTGAAACGCACCGTTGTGCGCGTGTGTTCGTATGAACAACGGACCTGTCCCATCCTCCTAATAATTCAATCGTTTTTGGTGATTATTATTATGATTAGTCAAAGTTATGAATCTAAACACTTGAGCACTATGACTCTTGCAACTAAAGAACAACCTGACTTATGTTCTGACGTCTGCGAGACGTATTTTCTTTTTTTCGCGATTTAATTGAGGAGTCGTACTCGTCAATGAACTAACGCTACATTAGTTGATGCGACGCAGACTGCATCGGTTGAGTAAGCGATGCGAGACTCCTGACAAGCCGGACCAGCAATGACGACAATTCGAAAGATCTGTTGGGTTATTGATAAATTGAGAGACCATGCAGGTCTTTAAGAAAAAAAACGCTATCAGCCCCAAGTATTGTTCATCAGCTGTAAGGTTTATGACTGAGATTTGCATCAAAAGGTGGAGTGCGAGGGTCTCCTTTGGTGGCTATAGACACGCAGTCCATTATCCACGGGGTCGGCTGAAATCGTGACGCCACGCGCGCATTCGATTTTCATATTCGACCGTTTGCATCCTTCAGCGGCAGTCATGAAGTACTCTAATCATCGTGGTCCTTTATGCACGTCTCGCACGACCACACTGCACGCCGG